TTTTAAAGGTTATCAATGATTTGTATGCGTAGAGGGATTGATCGATCGACATTGAATTGAGATCGAACGAGGTCGCTTTCTTTTAAAATAGAAGGATAAACACAGACGGTACATAAAACTGTGAACATGGAAACACAGGGGGCGTGAACTTTCGATCCCAACAAATAAATGATAACGTGTTTGTCAGTATTGAGCAGGTTTCGTTTCAAGAGGTCGATGTCACTGTATTATATTGAACCTGTAAGCTGATTGTAGTTCCCCGTAAAAACAATACGTCATGTAGGTCACGAAGGTACAATCAACTAGTCAACGAAGTGTGGGATTTCACAAGGAACTAATGTTGGACCAACCAGTGAATTGAAAACTATGTTGCATTATATGAATATTTTAAAGAACATGTAGAACATTTATAGTAATTCTTGTTATTTAATGAAGTAGTATCAAATTATTAATCTTACAAGAATCACTAAGTTTAGTTAAATACCGAATTCAGAAACGACCAATTAACACCAGCACGCGTTCACAAATATATCATCTCTTTCCACAAATATGCGACAACATTTTCGAAGAGTACGTTTTGTAATTACGCGAGATTACAGACAGGTTGTTTGTTAAGGCCAATAGTGAACGTTTCGACCTTCACATTGCCTGCACTGACCAGAGCCGTGGCGTCACAGCGGCTTTCGCAGACTACTAACTGCTGTGGGATCTTGACTTAAACAATATTTTTATTAATCTGCTTTGCTCTATAAATAAACAAAAAAGAAATTCGTAACTTGACGGCCTAGCACTGACACACGTATCTGCATGATAATAAACAGTTTCTTCATATAGCCAATTTTAATTAATATCAATACATACTTATCAGTATGCACAAAATCATTTCGTTCATTAAAGATATTTGCACGTATTAAGCTAATAGGATTGCAATCAGCCTACGCATACATTTGGAATATATGTAAACAGTCAGTCTCTGTTTGGCTATTGCCAATTGGCATAAATTAATTTTAAGGAGACAGTGCAATGATTATATTTTATTTTAATGGCATTTGAATAGCTAATGTAGTTAACTTCTGATACTGTTACTCTCCTGCTATCTAAAATAGTAACCATGTTTAATATACATTTTCTTCAATATGCTACGCATTTCTCGACACCGATTTTCCGCAGTGAACTATGCGAAGAATGCTAGGCACTATAATAGCACTGATCGGGTCCCGGTGCAGATTGTATGGGCTGCGAGTTTTCAACAACAAGAGATAAATTGCACATCTCACGAGACAGCCTCCACGCCAACGTTATTGAGCTGTTACACAATCATTTTTATTGTGTTTATTAAAGAATTTTCCTCTGCAAATAAGGTTTTATCTTACGTCTTTATTCTAGCATTTGTGTTGTCATTATCAAATGTTGGTTAGTATTTTATGGTAACGCGGAAACATGTTTGCGATAGCTAATGTAGAGATGTCATTATCTCTACTGCTGTTTGCACACAGAGTTGTATTTGTGATCTGTCACTGTTCCTATAATGTTCATTTATGAAGCTCTGTTGAGGGCGATAGTTGAATTGAATAGAATATTATAAAGCTAAGGTACCATATTCTAGATAACTGTACCCTCTCATTCTCTGAGTCACAGTGCTTTCTCGTCGTTTGTTATATCTTCCCTGTCAACTACAACAGATATCTTATATTGTAGAACAGTCAATGATACAATATCTTTATCGGTCAGTATATTCATTTCGTGTGTACCTTTACTTCTTAATGTTATCTCTTATGACTCACATCCATCAGACAAGTCAAAATGAATAGATTGTTAATTACTTCAGTATTTAATTACTCCATTCTGCTTATCTATTGGTTGTCTGTTTAGCAACAGGCTTTACTACGTCCACGTGATTTAGTACAGCATAAACAAAAGCTATAATGGTACCAATCGATTTGAATACTATTTTATTGTTACTAATACTATACTAAAACAAACAGTTTTGTCCGCAGTCTGAAACGTTGACTGTTAAATGTAACAAATTGGTGAAAATAAATAAATATGTAGCAGGATTGTGTTTGAAATAATACGCAGCTACGTAAGCTCTGCTGTTCACGGGCATTTGGAACTGCTGTGCAAACACTAGCTAGCACTTGTAATTTTCGTTCGATGATTCATGAAGATTTTGGACATGAACATTTTAATAGTTTACAAATTCTTTACTATTCTTTAGACAGACCTTGTCTCGTCTACAATAACAACATCATTTTAATATCAGCAATTACTACGAAGAGATAGAAAAACATCAATATCAAAGTGTGTTGTTCTCTAAAATGTTTACTCTTGTCGTTTTCTTTATAATTGCGAGTCATATTGTTGTTGTTTGCTGCGTAAATATTTGTAAAAACAATACCATTACGTTACTCGATCCAGTCACTAATGCATGTGTATCTAGAAATTGTTTTTATTGACTTTAATGGCTTAGTTCTTTAGTTACCAAAAGGCTTTTAGGTTCCGGCTACCTTCGAGTTATACTGCGACAAATTCAACAAGAAAACGAACAAGACCGGCTATTTGTGGTTTTTGTACAATGAAATGTTAGGCGGTTAAAAGCCGCCGCATGTCCGCCCTAGTGCTGTCGGAGCCTTACTTAGTAAACCTGTCTGCCTAGGACAGCCTGTGATTGTCCAAAAGCCCCGTAGGGAAGACGAAATGGCACTATAAAGGATTTTCCATTGACTTAGGGTGAGAAAAGAAAGTCAGCAAAAACGTGACTGCTTGAAATTGAGAGAATGTGTTTATTTTACAGATTTGTCTTAATATTATAGGATGGCGTCGAAATTAAAAGAGATACGACCCTAATCATCGCAATAAAGCTGTCAATTTACGCCACTTAATTGCGAAATGTAGGCGTATCAAACACGTGTATGTATAGAATAGAATAATTGTGATGTTTTTATGTTGTCATCGAAATAGGAGTATTTGTAGATTTGTACCGATACGTGTGTACAGGGTGATGTCACAGATATATTCGCAGATTTTAATGAAGGACGAAATAACAACTGTGTGGGACTTATGGCATTGAGGTATATGTTCATTCGGTCGTATACTTCAGTTCACACTGCGATATAATTGCATCGCCTATTATAATTTTATACGAGTCGCAGTTTTGTTGGTCAAATAAACACTAAGCTCGCTTAATGGCTGCATTGTGTCGATGACATAGATTCTCAAGAGTACACCGACGTCGGCGTCGAGTAAGTCCCCATTATTCCAATGATTACACTATTGTTTTAAATTTATTTATGATCATGAACGTTTTGGAAATTATTGTTGTTTAAATTGTCGAAGTAAATTGCAGCAAAAAGTTTGTGACCCACACATGTTAGTCATATGTGCCAATTGCAGCACGCGTTTGTGTTTATGAATATCGAAGAGAAATTACTGAGCACCGAGTCAAATGTACAATATATTGACAGAAGTAATCCTAGTAAGAACACCAACCAATTGTCCGCAGTAATCTTTATAAAAGTGAAAGAAAAAATATATTAATGTCAATTTCGCCGTCCTATACGGCTTTATTTCGCAGTAAAATATAAGACGTGCCCAGTGAGCGAGCATTGTTTCGGCTATGAGTCACGTAACGGACCACGACAGCATCAATCACACTTTCTGTTACTTCATTGTGATTTAGAGGCTTAGCCACAACAACCGTTTGGAACGTGATTTATTACTACCGTGTGGACGCTGTTTAATAATAGAGCATAAGTGTTCATTGTCCACTAATTGCCGCTAATTGTTATTGATACTTTATCACGTCCACCTAAGGTGTAAATTACAATACAATCATTTGTTCTTATATTTACTGGCATTGATCTGAATGTTTGTATTATTTTATATATTTATAAATTGAGTGACACAGAAAGTATGACATGTTTTAGTAATTGAATGTAGGCACGCGCGCGGCGTGACTGCCAGTGAACTCATTGCGATCCGCACAAACAACAAACATAAAGACACAACATTACAGAGTTAACTTTTATCGTAAAAATGATCTGTAAGTTCATTGGAATGGTAGAAAGTATTGCCCTCAGCGGTTATTTCCACAATCTCTAATGGCGACCTGTTGCGTGCTCACGGATTTAGTTCGAGCAACAGCTAGTCTGACAGCGGTACAATGTTCCCACCGATAGCATTGACTACAATGACGTTGAAGTTATTTTGATTTTTGTAACACGGTTGCTCAAATACTGCTAGTGGAATTTACGCACGCCCATAGACAGGTGTAAGTACTATACTATACTGTCGCTAGTCTCGCGCATGCTAAATTATATCAAGCCGACGTTGTACATGTGTATGATTCATGACGTAAGCACTTGCACGTAATCACATTTCACTATAAACCTCTATGACTACTGGTTCTGCGATATCCTCGGATAACGCGATATTGCGACAACGCAAATTGTCTACGCTCGTTTTTATGACTTTTCTCAATTAAAGTTTTTATGCCGTCAACGTAGGTACAGTTGATAACTTGTAATTTTACACTTGTTCCTTGCAATCTGACGCAGTAGGATCCATGCTTAGCATTGCGCAACGAATAAATATTGACACGATGTCATGCCGTATCGCAGCCGTGAGAATTTGTCACAGTTGTTATGCAATCGTGCTTTAATTAAACCTGTTTGTAGGTAATTTGAAGTTTAAAGGTAGTCCAACCTAGTAATGTCGTCACTTAAACTGTTAAACATTCTTAAAATTAAGTATACACATTAAGGGCCCATGGTTGTGTATTGTTTTAAGCATAACCTCTTGTACCGTTTGCGCGGAACATAAAATGCTGCGGAAATAAATAAGTCAGTAATGTAGTTCCTAACATTTCTCCGCATCAGACCAGTACTGCTAATAGCGTGATACACGCGTCGTATAACTTCACAACATTACGCAGATTATGCATGAAAATCCGTGGAGCTGTTCATAACACATTATTGATTGTTTCTATTTCCGTCCCACAGATCAGCAGAGCGGTATGTAAGAGTGAAATGGCGAGATGTGCGGGTCGGGGATCTAGTCCACCTGTCGAACAATGAGCCGGTGCCCGCAGACATGGTGCTGCTGCACTCCTCCAACCCTTTCGGGGTTTGCTACCTCGACACGTGCAACCTCGACGGGGAGACCAACCTCAAACAGAGGCTGGTTGTACCCGGGTTCAAGGAAAAGGTACTTATTACAACAAGGCGCTTGGCAGCCTTCTACAAAGAAATTGAAAAATTGTACTTGCCGCTATAAAGTCTTAAATGTTGAAAGAATTCCTTAATCACAAGGAATGTGCTTAAGTAATTTTCACAAGAATGCAGAATGGTTTGGTCGTTCCAAACATTCAATGGTAATAAATAACGCTTTTGTGAAAGAAAGACCATGCGTAGTTTGTATTTTTATACCAAAGCTATATTCGCTTTTGCTCTGTTATATTGTGAAACTCGATAGATACAATCTTATAAATCCGACGTGTTGCCCAAGTGTCACGGGGACGCTGCTTTTATAATTGGATGAACAACATAATGCTGTTTTTAGCTTTTGTTTGCCGCGCGTGTCATGCAAACCGACGAAAAAAGCAGAGCGTGGGAATACTTTCTCCAATACTTGTAAAATATCACAATAGACGTCGTAGTAGCGCGAGTCGCGGCACACTTTGGCAAATCGTTTGTATGGCCTTAAATGCTTTTTTTTTATTTTTACAGCATTCAGAATTTAGCCCGATAAAGTTCAGAAGTTCTGTTGAGGTAGAGAGGCCGTCTACGAAAATATACAGATTCACAGGCTGTATCTCACACCCAAACGGAGCCCGAGTGCCGCTCACCTCAGAGAACCTACTGCTGCGGGACTGTACCATCAAGAACACAGACTACGTGGAGGGCATCGTGGTGTACGCGGGCCACGAGACGAAAGCCATGCTCAACAATGGAGGACCAAGATATAAGTGTTCAAGTTTAGAGAAAAAAATGAACACAGATGTGATATGGTGTGTCTTAGTGTTACTGTTTCTTTGTTGCACCGGCGCAGTCGGTTGCAAGATGTGGTTGGACCAATATTACGTTACCTTATACAAGTATACCCCGTTTATAACGAATGTGAACAAACCTGCTTTCGAGGGGCTGCTCATATTCTGGACTTACATCATCACGATGCAGGTGATGATCCCTGTCTCGCTGTACGTCACGATAGAGATGACCAAGTTGCTGCAGGTGTACCACATACACAACGACATACAGATGTACGACCCGGAGACCAACACGCGGACGGAGTGTCGAGCGCTGAACATAACGGAGGAATTGGGGCAGGTCGCGTACCTGTTCAGTGACAAGACGGGCACGCTCACTGAGAACAAGATGTTGTTTCGGCGGTGCGCGGTAAACGGTGTGGACTACGACCATCCGCCCGGCCCGCCTGGGGAGCCCGCCGCCAAACTGCCTCCTATCGTCACCCCCATGTCCAAAATATCTCCGAACAGACGGTTGCTTCAGCACATAGTCGATAGCAATGACGCTCAGCATACGCAGAAGGTAACTTGAATTTAATACAAACAGCATTACTTCTGTCGTTGTGGAAGGCATTGACACGGTCACATGTTATAGGTTCGTGAGTTCCTGTTAATCCTGGCTGTGTGCAACACAGTAGTGGTCAGCCAGCCCCACGTTGACACGACGCAGGTGAGCGCGTCCAACTCTGGCGAACCGATCTCCACGGGGAAAGTTTCCCGATCGAACGGAACATTACGATCTAACGACAAGTAAGTTAAAAACCCAATTTATTAGATTAACAATGGTACCATAACACTATTTAATGGATACCTATAACTAAATAGGTAAATAAAAACTTAAGCGCCAGACACTAAATAAAAAAATGTAATAAACAAACCGCAATCAAAACTATAGTTAAAAGTTGTTATTAGATACTAGTCAACGAATGCTTTTTTGTTGAAACTTTTTTCACCAGTGTCAGACAATTATGATTGAATAGTATTTGTTCATGTAATGAGTACTGACCTGATAACAGTTCTTAAAACTTTTTATATAAATAGGCTATGGAAAGATTTTTTACTGAACATAGTATAGTCACATTTGCTGTCTCGCTTTAGATGTTCAGGGCGGGGAAATGTAGGCTCACCCGGGTTCATAATATGATTTGTCAAAGTTTTGTGCAGTCGACATAGACAGAGAGTGGCTCTCTAAGTGATCAAAAGGCCTCTGCTGAACAATAACCTCTTCTCGCACGGAGAAGGTTTAAGGAAAAATCAGCACGCTTGGTGAAGGCGGATTTTTGATTAGAAAACTATTAAGTACCTAGTTCTGGTTTTTTCACGATGTTGTCCTTCACCGTTTGTCTGTGGTCTAATTGTAGTAATCTTAGAAATTACATATAGGTACTGCACCCACGTGTTTGGAAAGCGGGCGCCTTAACCTCTATGCTACCACAACAAAAGGCACGATGTTTCGAAATTATGATCATTTGAATCTCTTTCACTAGATACGCTCGATTAACGGAATCCAGATCCACGACACCGTCACCACCGCCTTCCACTGGTTCCCCCTTCAGGCTGCGGCTACCAAAGCTCATACTGGGCAGCAAGGAGGACACCAGCACTCCCAGCACCTCCGTCGAACAACCCGCCGATCATTCCGAAGTAAGTATAAGCAGAGGGAAGACGTTATTTGGATTAAGTTTTTAAAATTTAATAAATTTATACAAAACCAAATACAGACAGCACACATTATTAAATGAATTATGACAAAAAGAAACCAGTAGTCGTTCTAAATAGTGAGCTAACCCAATATTTTGTCTTGTATTGTTCTGGTAAAATTGTGTATCCTCGATGTCCAATCGATTTAGGTTGATAAAAATCTTACTTCTCCAGATAATCCGATATGAAGCCGAAAGTCCAGACGAGCTGGCGTTGGCTGAAGCAGCTCTTGCCTACGGGTATGAGTTGAGGAACAGGACACCAGATGAGGTGGAGGTCGGCATCCGAGGGGAACTCACCAAGATGAAGGTGCTTAGGGTGCAGCAGTTCGATGCCACCAGGAAATGTATGTCAGTCGCCATGAAAACCCCTACTGGACAGGTTAGTTCGATAGTGAGCTTTATTACTCTCAAATTTATGGTTATAATTGCTTGTCAAATGTTCTTTTTGTATTATGCAAAGACTGAAGAACTGTCTTTAAATCCTCAAATAGACCAAAGTCTAGCCTACGGGGTGAACATTTGGTAATAAATATTATGGAACCAGAGAAAATTTTGAATTTGGAATGAAAAAAATCGATTTCAACGACAAAATCATACCTTTGTAATACTTAATAGAGCTTCCCAGGAACCGCTTACCTTACAGGTATTATAATACCATTATTATAAAGATCTTATTATAAAACCATAAAATATTTTTATCAATATTTAAGACACTGAAAATGATGATTAAACATTTCTGTTTGTGTTTGTTTTTTCTCGAAACAAATAATTTTATTGGCCTTTTTATTTGCGAAATTAAATCCAATTAATCCAAATTAATAGTGTTTTGATAGCGCATACGATCGAGGATCAATTTTTGATAATCATAAACAAAACACGAAATAAATGAACACTTTTTCCGATTAGATAAATAAGTCTTATCTTGAGGAAATATGGTATGGTTTTCAATATTATTTATAAATATTACTTGTTCGATTCGGTATTTTGTTGTTTTATCTCTAAATGTGATAGGTTATTATCAGCTTAACTATAATTCTGCAGTTTCCAACTAGTTAAATTCAATATTTAAGGAAATAGCAAACTTTTTTTAATTCGATGTGATAAGTAAGCAATTGGCGCCGCCCGTGAAACACAACAGCAGAGAAGTTGCAGTACTTTCTGGCCTTTTGGGGATTAGGGAAGGAAAGAAAGATTGGACTTTCAGTAACCTCACTTACACGGCAAAACACAACGCTGTGCTTGTTCACGCCGGTTTTCTGTGAGGCCGAGGTATCACGCCGATCAAGGCCCAGTCGTGCCGAAGCATGACTCTCCCGCACTTAAATCCTAACAATATGACGTCTTAAATTTTTTAACATAAAATAGATAATATTTGTATATTATTTTTGAAAAAAAAACCTGTCATGTCTTACAGTCTTCATAATTTTATAGTCTAAAATCGTAAAATCGGTAAATAAAAGTATTATTATATTTTAATGATTCATTGTATTCATAGGGTATTTACCAGTTTTATGACATTTAAGTCGATTTCCGTTTGGTCAAGTACTGTAACTATCGGTAAGATTTAAAAAATGGCTCAATGGAGAAAACAAAATAACAATCTATTTTTATCTGAACAATAAATTTATCTTTTATTATGCTAAGATTTTATATGAATGTAAGAGATACGAAAATATTCCAGAATTGTAACGACCTTCTGTGAAATTTGCCAAAAGTTATGTTTTGGCAGAAGTGCCCGTGTGTACAGTCCCGCTCAGAATATTAGGTTTGCAGGCATGAAAAAAAAATATTTCAGATAGAAAGGCACTGGTTGGTTGTTGAGCTGCCTAATGGACCTTAAGCGTGGTTCTGGGGACGAAGAGCAAGGGTATCTCACCTATCCAACCAGAACCACGTGTTCTTAAAAGTGCCATTAGACCACTCCACTGATGGAGCCGAATAAGGCCGGTGCTTAGCCGGGGTTGCAAGCGTTATCATGTAACAGAAGAAACGTGGTGATTATTATTCAGCTACCTCTTAATTCAAAACAAGATTTCTTTACTCTATGTTCAAACCATTGAAGCAGGTATTGTATTTTGAATCTTATTCTCATCTACCTTCAATTCGAAATACAATAACTGGCTCAATAGTTTATCAGACATAGCTAGACTATAGAAAAGCCTTGTTTTGTAATAAGACCGTTAGAGTCTTACACCCGGTTTCTGAAAGGCTTGTCAACGCTAAAATTAACTAATCTCTTGTTAAATCTCTTGTCAAGTCATCTGATTGGTTGTTGATAATTCAGTCAACCAATCAGATGACTTGACAAGAGATTAAATTGATTTTAACATTGATGGGCTTTTCGGAAACCGGGCGTTAGACTATCGCTTCCCTTCTTCTTCGTCCCAGGGCGGAAAATCATCATTTAATGTAATAACAGCTAGTTAAAAAGTCAAATGTCAAAATCATTTATTTCAATTAGACCACAGTAGGCACTTTTGAACGTCAAGCAAAAAGAGAAAAAAAGTATTTCAAAAGTGTTAACTTTAAGCGTGTCACTCTGTCCGTCTGTCCTCTAGTGAAGCTATTTGCTCGTTCCAAAGTGTAGATTCCTATGGAGAAGAACGAGCAAGAAACTCCATGGTAACTCTTTTTCAATCAGTTATACTACTAGTGTTACTGTACTGAGTCCATCTTTATTTTCTTACATCTCTCAGTAAGCTGAGTGTGAGTGTATGAGTGTGACGCCCTCGCAGTTTCGTAACACTTTCGATGTCACGGACAAATGGACAGCTCGGCGCGTGCCACTGCGTAGTGTGTATATTGTTTTCGATGCTATGTCGTACCTACCGACATGTATGCAATATTTCATATATTGTGGAGGAAACAAGGTTTTGTATACAAATCTTGTAACACAACAGAAATGTTTTTTTTTGTTGTAGTAAGTCTTCTCGATTAAATATCTAAAATAATTTTAATTAGTTTTAATTTAGGCGTACTTACTCATCTCTACAACAAAAAAATTATAGCAGTTGAAGAGATAGTAAATTTCAAACTACTGTTAAAACCAGGCGCATTAAAAGCTTCGTATAATCCATGGTATAGAGGTCCAGTGATTAAAAAAGAAGGCCATTTAAGTGTGGGACAGCCATGCTTCGGCATGAATGAGCCGGCTCGACTTGAGTGATACCACGGCCTCACAGAATACCGGTGGGAAACAATCACAGCGTTGTGTTCCGCCGTGTGAATAAGGTTACCGGAGGCCCAATTCTTCCTCTCTCCCATGCCTCCCCAATCTCTAAATCCCATAACCTTAACCTCCAAAATCGGCACTCGTAGCTCCTCTGTTGTTGCGTCCGTGTCCATAGGCGCAATTGGTACGCATGTTTGCCATTATTTATCACAGAAAAAAAAACATAACTGAAATGAACCATTTTGTGAAAACTTGTAATTGGCCTCCAAGTGTCATACTATTTCTTCTAGCTGTAAGACTTCCGAAAATTTTAAAATAAAAAAAGAATTTAAATGTATGCCAATATTGAGTTCAATAAAATACAAGTTAGAAAATCTGTAAGCGTCGTTTGCGTTTCGGTGTAACACATAACAAAACGAAGCTATTGTGAAATATAATAGCCATATCAGCCGATTCTAGGAACTATTGTCAAAGCGGAAGTCGTGCACCAAATAAGGTTTTTATTGTAAACCTCAGACTTTATTAGTTCCAAGGATTTTGTATGCAAAACATAGTTTTATAGTTTACCACGTTTGTGTACTAGGTTACTAGTGTAATGGCTGAGCAAGGCCTCTTTTTCGATATTATTATCTTACCTGTTCGGTATTAAAAGTGTTTATTTTTAGTAATACTATATCTTAAATTTTTTGATAATGTCTTCAACACATAGTACGTAGGAATTAAACCAAAACTAGGTGGTACTTCACATTATGTGTTTTTTTATTAGTTAAGAATACTTATATTTATTAGCAAAATTAATGTTCCCAGGTAGTAATCTACGTGAAAGGCGCCGACACAACGGTCTTAGGCGCTTTAGCTCCGATGCGCGCAGCCTCAGCTGAGCTGGCCGCTTACGACAGGACCCGGGCGCTACTCTCTGAGTACTCCCGCGCGGGTCTACGTACGCTGGTCATGGCAAAACGAACCATGAAACCTGCTTTGTGGGAAGAATGGTTAGCTGGACATAACCGTGCCATGGAAATTGGTGAAGGTAAGCAGTGCTACTTATAAATTTAAAATATAATTATTGAAATCGAAAATCTTGGAAAAATACGATTGGAAGCAAGCGGCCTCAGGTCGATTAAAGTTTTTTTTATGTGTGAATATAAAAGGCATCAGAGTCGGGCCCCATCATAATAATATAACTTAATTGTTTATAATATTACACTAATATACTTAGGGGTACGCCCTAAATCTGTAACCAGACACCGAGGACTGGCAGACCATGAGTATTGCTGATATTTCTTAACAAAAATTAACATAAAATTCCAATGATTTTACAATGTATTAAACAAATTGTTCTATCCGAACAGGTCGAGAAAAACGCATCAGGGAATCACTGACTCGGTTAGAGAGCGCGCTAACTTTGATAGGAGCAACAGGCGTGGAGGACAGGCTGCAGCAGGACGTGCCTCGCACCGTCCGAGCGCTGCTGGACGCCGGCATCGTGGTCTGGGTGCTCACGGGGGACAAGCCCGAAACTGCCATCAATATCGCTTACTCGGCTGCCTTGTTTTCTCAAGGGGATCGGTTGCTGCATCTCATGTCTAGAGACAAGGTCAGTTCATCTAGCCTATATCCTAGCTCTTTGTTAAATTGCATATAAAATTAGTATCATTATGTGTTTTATCACGTATTATTATTTTACTTATTTTCGTTTTTCTCCCTTTTTAACCTCTTTATTGTTTTCTTTTATCCGCCGGCTTTCATGTCTGATGCCGAATAAATGCATTTTCTTTCTTTCTTTTCGTGTCTTTCTAAAATACACAATAAACATGGCATTTCGCTTTCTCATCGGCAGTTTTACATCGCTTTACTCAAATCATTGTTATAAAGCAGCTCCCATTAATACAGTTTCATTTTATCAATGAGCCACTGATTATAATTATTATTACATTTATATAAATACGTTGCGTCTGTCGTAATATGTCTGATTTGAGAATTTGTCTAGAATAATCGTGACTATGTAATCAGTAATGTGTAATGTGTGTAGTCTCTAGCAGGATTAACAAGATTAATTATACAAGTGATTATTATGTTATAATTCCTCCTTGCTCGTTTAAGTAATATGTAAGGTGCTTATCTATACTAATATTATAAAGAGGTAAAATTTGTAAGTCTGTATGAAGGGGGTAATCTTTGGAACCGCTGGTCAGATTGCCAAAATTCTTTCACTGATGGATAGCTACAATGTTCCTGAGTGCTATAGGCTAAAACATCACGCTACGATTAAATGGAACGCAGCGGGTGAAGCCGCGTGAGAAAAGCTAGTAATTATTACAGTAAAAATGTATGATTTAATCTGAACAACATATCTTAGGGAACCGGCATGGACCAATATCAACGGTAGTTGAGCTTAATAAATAGTTCTGCCAGCCACCCTTTTTACACAAAAGTAAGCATAGCTCTTACCCTTCTCTCCATTCTCCTTCCCATCTCCACAATTCAAGAGCGGCAGTTAAAAGCCTAGAAAAGTGGGAGATTTGGAATAGAGCATATAATATTCATTTAAATCAATTTTACTGACACCTTGCTTTTTCATCGTGTTTGTAGCGAGCTTGTTTCAATCCCGAATATTAACTTTTTTTTTTACACGAGCTAAACAGAAATAATTACTTTTTTATAGTCATCTGTCAATCAGAAAAACTAGGAACTCATTTCAATTTGTAGATTACCTACTAAGAACAAGATAAAGAAGTAAGTTCTTAATTTTTTTCATCTTTGTGTTATCCAGGAGCATGCGGAATCGACAATCAAGAACTACCTAGAAAGCAGTTGCACGGCCATTGAGATGGGTACGCGAGCGCTAGTGGTGGACGGTCGCACCCTGACGTACATCCTGGACCGTCGGTCGGGGCTGGTGGCTCCGTTCATGTCGCTGGCGCGGCGCTGCTCCGCCGTACTCTGCTGCCGCGCCACGCCGCTGCAGAAGGCTTACATCGTCAAGGTAATACATAGTTGTAAGCTTACACCAAAAATAATGATAGGTTTTTAGCATTGTTTAGTGTAGCTGTTCCAGCAAGATAGATAAAGCAGTAATATAGTTATATCCCTAGGGATATACTTATACCGAAACATAGTTATAAGAAAGCGATTCATTACTATCTCACTAGCAATATAGTTATAAAACGATCCAAGTTCAGTGATATTACTAGATTAAGTTTTGACATCAGAATCAATCTGAAGAAATAAATCAGTAAATATGTGTTAACCCAACAAAACTACAAATATACTCAGGTAATTTCTTTAACCAACAAAACTTATTTTCATTCAATTCTATTTTCATAGTAATAAGTGCTAATTTCGTATATCAATATTTATAATGATATCTGCAGGCGGTGAAAGAGGAGCTGGGCGTGACGACGCTGGCGATAGGGGACGGAGCCAACGACGTCTCCATGATACAGACTGCGGACGTCGGTGTCGGTGAGTTACTACACTGCAATAAACATAAGTTTGGGCGTAAATCCGACAAATTAATAGCAAAAACTCGTATGGTAAAATATGGTATATTGGTTAAGTTTGAAATGGTTAATGGTATGAGCAAACGTGATTTGGTTGGTGATTAAAACTAAATGCTGCGTCAGTGTGGAAACGCTGACTGCGCGCGCGATTGACATCAATAAACTGACCTACTTTGTACAATAAGTAAATGCAGCTTACACTGACTAGCTTACTTCCATTTATGTACAAAGTTTAGAGATCCATAGTCTAACTGGTAATTAGTGACCGAAATAGAAAAATGTGATTGTACAATACCGTCAACGTATCTTGGCGAGTCTGAAGTTAGCCGATTAGCTGCGCAGTACACAATTTTGTTCCTAAAAGATCCATTGCGCAGACAAACGGCTAACTTCAGACTCGCCAAGATACCTCGGTTGTACCGTACTTATGATAACAAACAACAGGAACTATTTTTCTCTAAAATTTTACGCATAATTTAACCTTTGCCTGTTACAGGTATATCGGGACAGGAGGGTATGCAAGCAGTGATGGCGTCTGACTTCGCAGTGTCGGGGTTTCGGTTCATAGAGAGACTGTTACTAGTACACGGGCACTGGTGCTACGACCGCCTCGCTCGGATGATACTCTACTTCTTTCTTAAAAATGCTGTAAGTACACACATATTTATATTTTAAACAACAGTGTGGGATAGCCAAGTTTCAGCACGAATGGGTCGGCTCGATCGGAATGATACCACGGCCTAACAGAAAACCGACGTGAAACAACCACAGCGTTGTGTTTCGCCGTGTGAATGAGGCCCAAGCCCTCCTCCTCTCCCCATCCCTTTCCAATCCTTAAATATCCGAAACCCTTATCCCCAAAAGATCGCCAACGCACTCTTTCTTTACACATCTAATCTTCATCTTTACACGTCTAAGCGTCTAATAAACCATGGTATCCGGTCGGTCGAACTGGCTAAGTTTCTCCCACTTAAATGGTTCCTAAACGAAATTTAAGCATTCCACAACATAGTTTAATGCTATTTTAACTTTATGTGTTTGTCCACAGTCGTTCGTGTTCCTAGTATTCTGGTTCCAGCTGTACTGCGGGTTCTCTTCCATGGTAATGATAGACCAGGTGCACCTCATGACCTACAACCTCATGTTCACTGCTCTACCACCCATTGTTATTGGTGAGTTTCTATTCTAAATCAATTTGGTTTATAGAAGTATCCGAATAAAGAATTTTTTTGCAATTTATATAAATGACGTATAAGGGTTAAGATACTGCATTCTATTCTACTCTATCGATTATAATATAATATATTAAATGAATTTAAAATCATATTCATTATTATGAATTTAACTACAAAGAGTTCACACAAATTGCTTCAATAAATTCTATGACTTTATTTAGTAATCTAATTAGTATCTTACAATGGAACGTACAAAATAAATCAACATATAACCCTCCAGGCGCGTACGACCGCGTGGCCCCGGCGGCGCTGCTGACGGAGCGGCCGGGGCTGTACGGCGCGTCGCGGCGCGGCCTGGCCTACCGCGCGCACTCGTTCTGGGCCGTGCTCGCAGAGAGCCTCTACGTCAGCGTCGTGCTCTTCTTCGCCAACACCTTCGCCTACTGGGACACCACCATCGACCTCTGGGCCTTCGGGGTCTCCTGCATGACCTGCTGTCTCGTCGTCATGCTGCTCTACGTCGCCATCGAGACTAGGAGCTGGGTTAGTCACACCTTCATTATCTAAACATCTTCCATTCATGCTATAATTATGTAACAACGTTAAAAGACTGGATTTATAACCAATATAATTATGACCTACACCATTGATGAAAATAAATTTAAAAAAAACATCGAATCATGTTCACTTTAAGATTTGAGTCGTTTACGACTTACGACGTAAATGAAAAAATACTTCAATCTATCATCATAATACATTTCTTAATAAAAATGAGATGTTATCGCTTTATATATGTTTTTTTTTTTAATATAAGTATGATAATTGGCGCAAATATAATATTATGACATTACAAACACACTAGGTAACTTACAAATACCTAAAAAAATATCTTGAATTTTTTAAACTATCTATCTTTTGAAACTAAAAAATAAATTTAAAAGTGTAATAAAGGCTAAACTTTGCTGTAAAGCATTTTATAAAATAAAAGACTACTTAGAGGATAGTCAGGCTTGGGAATGAGCCGCTGTAATGTCTGCACAGGTCATGTTGACATGTTTGTAACATAAGTTACACTTTTATATACAATTTGACATTACGTTTATTTTTTTTTTTTATACAATGACATGATCACATAGTATGACATTTTTATTTTTTATTTGACATTTTTTTTATTTATTTGTTGACATTTTTATTATTTTATATTATTGTTAGTGTAAGGACCGTGTGAGACTTGTCGTGCTTTTTTATCACCAGTCATCTGCGTTCTGACAGTTTGAGTACTTGCGCGACCCACCCAAATGTTCTTTTGATCGGTATTGTTCGTCGGACAACTCAACAGCACTAGCTATATGGTTGCAAACTGACACTTGCGTGCCTGTCTTCAGAACGGGTCCACTTAAACTGGTGTGGTTCTTTCCTCAAAAGACCACTACAGAATGAACTTGCACGGTTCTCTCACATTATGTTATTTTATATTGTCTGGACTTGAAAAGAGACTGACCTCTGAGTTTGTTTCGGCATTTCTTCTCAGAGTAGTCAGATAGGAAATGCCGGCTTCATCTAGTTTTTCACATATAATTTGACGTGTAAAAGTGCCGTTTTAAGGCCTATTTGCAAAAATAAATTCATTGTTTCATTGTTTCATTGTTTCAAACTATCTTACTCATTAGACATTATAATACTATTACCATTATGTTAGACCTAATATTTGTATTATTATGACATCACTTTATATTTATTATCTATGTCATTATTACATGCAGCTTTTTAATATCAGATTCGTAAGTGCTTGGACAAATGCATGGAGTGAAATAGACTATTAATTCATATTTTAACAACACATTTTAGACCATATTACATTAATGACACGAGTGAAAATAGCTTTAGCAGACATTTTTAATCTTATATTTGTGTGGTAGAATCACAAATACTAACCCAACTTTATTCTACAAGGTATATAAGACTCAATTTTAACCGAAAACTAATGTCACCGCAAGTCACCTCATCCCCAAACCTCGATTTTTTAAACCGTATTAGATTTTCAAACTTTATCATTTCGAATTAAAGTTGTAAATCGAATAAAAGATTGGTCAATTTATCTGTGTGTACAACTTCAAGCATATGCAATAAAGAGTATTTACTTGTGAAGTCTTTAAAAGCTAAAATTGAGTCTCAATATTCCTATTTAACTTAGAACAAAAGTTAACATACATATAAGCTTTTATTTCTGTAAGACAACATTACGAGATCAGCTGGGGTTGTGCGTACTAAGCGTATCCGTGTACTGAGGCTCTGGCCCGTATTAGGAAAAAGTACGGGGTAGTTTTTTGTTGCTTAGGGTCTGACATGTCTTCTCGCTCCCTGGGTGCGCCAGGGAAAGAGAATTGGGTAGTTTCCTAGGTCAAAAATAAATTAATTCGACGTTTCAATATAATAAAATATTAAAAAATAACTATACTTTTATTCATCGATCGATCGATTCACTAAGTCTTAGATATTTTATAGCTAATTATTAAGAAATAAGTAAGCGATTTGACGCAAAAATACTATGACGTCATACCTCAGTTTTTCATACTACTTTCATAGAAAAGTATCGTTTTTGACATTTGAATAAAAGTATTGAATTTGACTAGTTGGAAACTACCGTATTAATTTGATTATTAGATAAGATTGTTATTAATGTCGTAGGGGGAAGTAAGGCATATTGCCAAGTTTAATTGTATACTGATGACCTTGAATGTCATACCCAGACGGTGATCCACGTGTTGGCGCTGGTGGGGTCGGTGGTGTCGTTCTTCGTGCTGACGCTGGCGTACCAGTCTATCAGCGTGTCGGTGCTGAACCTGCCGTCCACGTACCACGTGCTGCACCACGCCGTCACGGAGCCCGTCTACTGGCTCCTCATACTGCTCACCGCCGTCGCCGCGCTCGCGCCCAGGTACTACTCATACTACTCACTCATCTATACTTCTATACTAATATTATAACGAGGTCAAATTTGTAAAGTTTATATGTAGGGGGTAATCTTTGAAACCGCTGGTCGGATTGCCAAAATTCTTTTACTGATAGGTAGCTACAATGTTCCCGAGTGCTATAGGCTAAAACATTACGCTACGATCTAATGGAGCCGAGCAGCGGTTGTTGTATGGTTCAAATGTATAGCTTAACTTATTGGATAAACGCACCACACTTACCTTAGCTTTACCATAAGATCTGTAAGGCTTTGATGGTAAAATTACTGTGAAATATTGCATAAATAATGTGTAATCCTCCCGACCAGGATGGCGTACCACGGCATCCGTAACTCGGTGCACCCGGGCTCGCTGGGCCGCGCCGTGGCGGCACGCCGCAGGAACCGCTCCTACGCCGCGCACTACCGCTCCGCGCCCCCACACGCCACGCTCTACCGGTATGTTTCTTATTTCATATAAAAACTGTGTTCCGCTTGTTTAGAAGCTATTGTGACACTTTTCAATAAGGTCCATATAATTATATCATATAGGATTATGCACTAACGACCTGACATGGTGTTTGTTCTTAACACGCATAAAGTTGTACCTCTACAAATTTTGTTTTTTTTTGCTTTACGTTCAAAAGTGCCTACTGTGGTCTATTTGAAATAAATGATTTTGGCTTTGACTTCGACTCTTTTGAAATGAAAATTTTAAATTTAAACGTATTGTGAATGACGGTTATGTTTGTATTATAGGGCGAGAGACGAGGACGGGCTGCAGAAGCCGCAGACGGAGGTGGCGGCCATCACGTGATCCCCCCCCCTCCCCTATATATATACCTCCACTCGTTACACTGAACCTAGGCTGTGATCTGTCGATAGACCTATTGTAATTACAACTTTAGATATATTGTGCTTTTATACTGCAACGCGGGACCAACGCCCCTCGCCCGGCGCCCCACTGACTTGCTAGCATTTATCTCGGCTCACGTTCATGCAAATCGAGTGATTTATTACGTTCCTCACATAGTGCAAAAATAGTTTTCCCCCGAGCCGAGAACATTAATATAACACGAATTGAATCTGATTTGTAAACACGTTTTGTTCTTTGTAAATATTTTCATCGCAAGTGTTCAAAACTTTAACGTATGACCTACCATATCATCGAAATTACTTCCGATGTTGTTAGTTACCATATATATTATGTATAACATTTGTGTAGTATTTATAGTACATAGTACTTACTCCGCTCGCGCGGTATCTCATAGATCTGCCAACGTTGGATACGTGGACGGTAGTGAGGCGACTACCAGATTCAATAATCTTTTAATACATGTCTACTAGATATTCTCTAGAATATTCTTTCATTCCAAAATGTTTCCAAATTTAATCTCCATTGACATATAGATTACTGAACTGGTTTAGTAAGCTGCATTAGCCTCATTACCGTCGAGTTAGTATCAATTGTTATTATTAATCAGTATTTTTGCATCTTAACGTGACCATGGATTTAGAAGCGATAACTCACTTTGGACAATATTTGTAATTACGTCAAAAGTATTAAGGCTCGAGCATACCGGTGTACGTGTCACTGAGTTTATTTATATATTTTTTTTATTCGAGTGGACGGCAAAAAAGCATACTGATTACCTGATGGTAAGCAACCAGCGCCGCCCATGGACACCCGCAACAACGTAGGAGTGACGAGTGCGTTGCGGACCTATTGGTAATGAGGAATTGGAGATTTGGCCTTCGGTAACCTCACTCACAAGGCGAACACTGTGGTGTTTCACCGTGAGGCAGTGGTCTGACTCGAACCATTCATGCTCTCCCGCAGTTATTTTTTTTTAATTCCGTATACTTTTTAGGACAAACCACTTGCGTCACGTAGACGTCTTCGTGTACGCATCCAGTGTACTCGACCCTTTATATTGTGCGCACTGCCTTCAATGATGTTTTATGGTATTCTAAATCCATGACGAGAATTGTCTCGTGGACATAGCGGATAAATGTAAACGTGAAACTTAGTTCTGCTCGAATTTGACCCTATTATAGTATAGCTTTGTGTTGACCGACTAATGTTAAGCTGCTTATCGATTTAAGCAAAAATTTTTGAAAATATTCGTGAATTTTGTCTCTTTTTTATTGAGTTTGCGTTTGTGTGAATGTATTTAATGTATCATTAACAATATGGGGGTTGAGCCAAGTGCCGCTTAATAAATAGGTGCATTGGAAGTTGCGTTTCTGTCGATTTTGCATGAGACTACAAATTCATGTTATTATTATTATTTTGTTAAAGTCATTCGTTTTAATACCTCTTGTGACCAGAGAAATGGACACTCACACAATCGCAAACTCAGTGTCTAACGTAACTTGACGCTTACTTTATCGTTTCATACAACAAAAGTAAAATTATTATACGTTAGCATATTTTTGAACATGAAACGATCACGTAATCAAGTTTCGATAGAAATTCAACCTTATTGTACTATGTTAAAATTGAAAAACTATTAAAAAACAATTAGAAGTAGTTTGGTGAGCTACCTTGAATAGATGTCAAAATAATTTCCTAAAACAGAGCATATACTTGTTAAATGTAATTAACAAGGGTAATTAGTTATCGAAAGTAGTTAGCTTAATATCCGTTGAAGTTAATACACGTGACTGTTCGTATGTCTGTCTGTCTGTCTATTATACTGTGTACCGTGTGACCAGCGATACGATTGTGATTGTTGATGAAATCTTGTATTTTAGTAGGTTACTAGTGTGTGATAACGGTTGACTTCCTTCTCAGAAATATTTATTTATAGAGAAACGCTGCCTTGCCTGAGACTGCACCCGGTATTGGGGCACTTGTATCGCGGGCTCGCACTCGACCGACCCACGCTCACGTTCAAACGTCCTCTGGGACTAGTCTAGGCTTACAGTACACTCTCATAAAAAATCACATGAAACTGACCGTAGAATATATTCCAACATAATCTAAGATTAGTTTGGACTATTGTGTATCTTTATTTACTCTTACTTTTATCTATGACTGAAACGCAACGCTTTTTACCTTTACAAATATAATACACACTGTATAATTATGTCAATTTCATCGGTGTCGCACTTCAAAACAACCTGTATAATGAGATTTAAATATCAAAAATTGAACAGGAGATTTATAATTACAATTATTAACCCCTGCTGCCCCCGCAAGTTACAGAACTGGTTTCTAACTTACCAGATGATCCCATGAATGATGTACCGGCGAATCGTAAATAATCAAAGAGTGCTACAAATTGTAAGTAAATTAGAACAAGTGCCTCGATCGTGGCTCGGCCGAGTGTGTCCGCGCCAACCTCGTGAGTAGATGATTCCTAAAGATTGAAAAACTATTTTTACTATCGTTTCTAGTTTTGTACATAGAAACAAATTATATTTCTATATGAATGAGATGATTGTTATATGTACAGTAGGATATTTTTATATGAAATAAATCTTTGTGTAAATAACTTGTATGTTCTAAGACTGTTGTTTATTTTAGAGCTTTTAGTTCGTTCAGTTAAATTAAACTAATTTAATAGGGTATTGTGATGAACACATGTATTTTCCAGTCATTTTGGTCCCATGCTGTCCGTTCGCTGTTTGTTCTTGCCACGTTAAATAACTATTTAGCATAATTTAGCTAGCTCAAGTTTCAATTCTTCTAAAATGTTTAATTGTTCTTTTTAAGGATCTTTTTTGCTGTCTTGATATCTAGCTATTCTCTCAAATAACTTTAATAAATATTTTTTTAGATTTATTTGCAATTGAAGTTGTTATGCGGATACAGTGAAATGGTTATTAAATATTTTTTACGTACTAGTCTTATCAACGAAATGTTAAATTGTATTCATCTATCTTTATGAAAATGTATCTTCCATTAAATTATTGAACGCATTCTATCGGCATTATTACGAAACTAATTACGATATTAGAAAAAAAAAGCAACTAAAATTTCGACGTCGACGCTGCGTTAACGTTGCGTTGAATTGTTAGCAACGTTTGCGCAGCTTATACGTTCTTCTTGATGTAAATAATAAACCTGTTGTACTAAATCAACGTGTTTCGTAATGTGTTAGCATTTATTCTGTTGTTTATTCCATTATATTGTAATCATGTTGTTTCTTACTTATACTTGTGCATTTAGTTTTGTGATATTATCCAAACTACATGTTTTATAGTCGCTACTACCAACAAGTGTGCACGACAATGACTTGAAAATACATCATATAGATGTGTTGTTTTATAATAATAACAAATTATTTAATTTCATTACAAATATTGTTTTATTTCGTCTCCTTCCTAAACATACATTGTTTACAATTACAATTTGTCATTAACAATAATCTACAATTTCATTTGTGCATTAATAAATAGTTACAACAGCTTTTCTAAAGTGTAGAGATATATAAAACACTTAAATTACACATTGAATTTGTCAAGTTCAACGTAAACACATTACAAAAACACCTGTCTGCTTAGCAGTCAGTTCACATCTCCTAAAACGATGGACAGAATCTCAAATAATCTTTTGCCTTCAACCTGGACAATGGGTAATGAATTAGGGTCAGATCATAGCGACGGCGTTGCTTGCAAGCTCCAGAGAGCGGGTCCAACTAAAATTTGTACAACAAAAGATTTAAATCGCCCCAATGTCGTCCCACTCTCTGGTATAGGTCAGTCCCACCGAATTCATCCTCCTTATTCCTAACCTATGCATCCAAGGTGTTTACTCAAGAGAGAATTGATAATATGGTTATTATTTAGCTAGGATTACTAGTTTTTGGACTAAGCCAGGATGGCCAGGCTTACCCTAAGCTATTCTACCCTCAAAGTCTTGATATTTATAACTTAAAAAAAATGAGAATTGAAGTGTACCAGTAAAAAACCCAAATTAACTACGTAATCCAATTCCCTGATTCGTATTCTGAAACTAAATAATCATTTTTTATACCCATTGTCTTTAGAAAAACAATATAATATGTATATTAATAATAATATTACACTTTTCAAACATATCTAAATTAATTCAATAAGGATGCAGATTGCCGAGTTATACAAAGAATACATTTCAGGGTGTCAACTTGGTGGCGCAACAACCAAGCTGTCAGTTGATAAACTATCCCCAGTGTCTATTCTGCGGAAGCGCAGAAACGCTGTTTGGCTCATATCATAGTCTCCACCAACCTACGTATATACTACCAAGGGATCCCACTAAGGCCCTTACGTTTAGAACTGACAGTCCACCAAACAACCAAACTAAAAGAACTTCTGCAATTTCCCATTCTCAAAGTATATTCCTAATAACTACTTATATTATGAATCCGTGTATAAAATATATTCAGTAAAATCTACTAAGTAGAATTCAAAGTGCCGAGTAAAAGAGAGATCCCAGAGTTTTACTCAAAGGAAAACCAATAAAAAAGCAGTTTAATTTTCGACTATGATCTCTCTGTCGCGCATAGAATATATTGTAATGGCGCAAGACAGAGACGGCAACATAGTCAGAGCACGTATCTAAACGTGTTTATCTCAACTTAATATGCTCACGTAAGTTACATTTTACAAACATTTTAAAGATTTTTTTATACAGTTTTATCAAATTATTTTGAACTCTATTCCGTTTGTGATAAGACAAGTTTGATATGCACACAATAACATTGTTAGCTACACGAAATAGAAATCAAAATTGCTTGGTACAACTGTATCGAAACCAAAAGTGTGGAATTAGATTCAGAGGCCGTAATGTCTTTAAAAATAGCCAATCACGAGTATAGTCAGTGACAACTAAGCAACTATAAAAACAAAACGTTGAACTTTTTTTAATTACATAGGATAGTGAAATATTAGCCAGACCCAGCGTACCGTAGTGTACAATAATACATTTATAATATCAAAAAATTAAATCTAATAAATTTATTTGAAACGGTAATAATAAAGAATAAACTGTATTCACTAATTACACAACATTCTCTAATAAATAATATTGTGAACTAAATATGTAAAGGTAAATCGATAAACGACTGACACTATCGATATTAAGTGGCACAGCACTAGTAAGTAACGATTGAGATGACTATTCAATAAGTGAACTCAATATAAATATTACTTTCTATTTAAGTTAATCGACTAGCTAAGAAATGAACAAACACAACTTAGATTTACAACAATTAATAATAAACCTGTAATATATGTTATCTGTATTCATTTTAAATTATCTTAGAAAATTAATAAAGTACCAAATATGGTTATAATAAATTGGTCAAGTCATCGAAATGCTGCAGTTTCATATAAAATGAGGCACAAGACTTAGTATATTTATTAGACTATAAATTAACGGCAGTTATATTTAAAATTAAGTATATTTTGCTCTCTTAACTTTTTTTTACTGATAATTTGCTTAATCAAGAATAGTTATGACCTTTCTAGACATCGAAACAACACAATAAAAAGCTTTTATGAATTCATTGCGTGAATTTGTACAAATAGTTATGTGGTAATTATTTGAAAATTGTGGTTTCTGGCACTGAAGTATAATTTTAATCAAAAAAAAAAATCGTGAATTTGACTTATTGGACTTATAAATTATAACTACATTTTCAACGAAATAAAACTTTGGGAACCGCTGCTCTACTTAGGGCCTGGCTGACTAACAAAACACAAAAACTATTTCACAAAAAAAATGTAACAAAAATGTCGTGATTAAACAATAAATAAGTTTAGCTACAATCACAATATGATCACAGTATACATTCTAGGATGCCGTTCACAACGTCGATTGTTGGGTCATTGACAAGGACAATGTCGAATTTGTTGAGGTAATTTTTTAGGTTACCTTCAGGGTTGTGGCCTAGGAAACCTACTTTGACGACAACGTCGCAGTGTTCCATTCCCTCTGCCATGCCAGCGTCCCCTATATTGTCACCCATAAGAACGACATTACTCCTGTTTTGCACCATGTCGTAATATTCCGTGTTCTTGATTGCGGTTTCGTTTTTGTTGTACGTGTGTATCACCTCGCCTTTGATGCCCACTATGCATTCGTTCTCGTCTAGCGCGAGGAAGTTTGAGATTACCTAGAAATAATGACAAAATGGATTAATATTGAATGCTAAACATAATGATGGATGCTGGTTGTTTCCAAGCGGCCTATACAAAACTCATCGATGTTCAAATGTTTTCAACAACATTAATCGTTGTTTCAAAACAATGATCAAAAGAATTTACCTTCTATTAGAACGAAAGAAGAAAGAGAAAAAAGACACCAAGGACACCTAATATTTTTAAATAAGTTTGCGCCAGCTGCGCTATTATCTCTAAACTCATAGAAGTAAGTATTTTAATATTATAATAAAAATACCTTAACATTAGGTAGCATGAAGTTGGCAGCAGTCATAGCTGCAAGTACAGACTCGCCGAGCCCCGCGGAGAACACTAAAACGGGCACCTGCTGTGTACCGCTCCAATCTATCATTTCACGGACGCCTTTCCTACAATATATACACAGAATTATATTACGCAAGGCAATAAACTACATATTAAACTACAAATGCTTCAAAGGGACAAAGATTTCGAAAAATGGGCCAATTTTTTTGGCACATCTCAATCGTTGAATTGATTATATATGAATGTTATAAGCAGTGGTTGATTAAGAAGAGCTGGAAGTCGCGCTTAGAAACGTGCTTTTGGGAGGTACAATGTCATAAACAACTGAATGTACAGCAAATTCAGACAAGACTTTAATTGTTGACAATTAATACATTTTCAAATGAAAGATTGCTAAACTAATTTTGTGTATCTTGTCTGTTCTATGACTTCTAGCGCCTTGAGTTGAGCGTGTTATGTGACTCTTACTGACTAAAACCACCCTTTACTTCCCCCGTTTTGGGCCGGGGCCGCGATAACATTTTGCGCTTGCAATCGCATTTTCAGCCATTTGTAAAATAGTGAGAATTTGATTATTAATTTTGTATACCTGTCTAAACCACTGAATCGTGGTAATTCGAGACACAATAGGTGTGCTAATGCCAACTTCCACTTGAGGTACGATGAATTAAGTAACATTCATTAATAATAATAAATAGTTTTAATATCACCGGCTCCGAAAGTGCTGGACCGATATGAAAAATTCGTTCACTGTTGAGAAGCTACACTATCCCCAGTAGCCGGGGTTGCGGGGTAAGCGCAATGAGGCACCGCGACCTTGGCCCAGAGCAGGAGAAGGGACAGGGGGTTTTTAGTCAATAAGAGTCTAACACTCCCTCCCGCCTGGCCCTGGGCGGGAGAAGTCATTTGATGATTTTCCCCTCACAAAAAAAAATCATACACTTCGCTATAAACTACGCGAGCTAAACCTCGAGGACAGCTAGTAATAAAATATAACCCTTGAATTTATAAACAAAAGATAAAAATAATCGTTTGGATATCGCTCCAGTTCTGGTATACATCAATATTCCATCACACCATAGATTGATAATAAAGATATCATTATGGCCGTGTTGCCGCGCGGAACCGGTTTCTCGTGGTCACTGATTTTACAGATAAGCACAAACGGACAGCTAATAAATTTGTCTCATATAGAATTTTAATTTGTTTTTCTTTTTCGATGACTATTTACACTAGCTTTCACTAGCTACTATCAATTGGGTGGTTTCCTAGGTCAAAAATAAATTAATTCGACGTTTTAATACGATAAAATATTGAAAAATAACTATACTTTTATTCATCGATCGATCGATACACTAAGTTTTAGATATTTTTTTAGCTAATTTTTTAAACATAAGTAAGCTATTTGACGCAAAAATGCTATGACGTCATAATTCAATGTTTCATACAATTTTCATAGAAAAGTATCGTGTTTGACATTTGGATAAAAGTATTGAATTTGACTAGTTGGAAACAACCGTATTGTTGTAATGAGCTTACAACCTTATAATTTTTTATAAGTTTAAAATGTATTATATGCTATAGCGACCCGCCCCCGCTTCGCACGGGTCTCCAATTATTTTTAAAAGTTTACCCAGATATCCCCTCTACTTTTCTTTCATTAGAACCTTTTCCTGACAGTAACAAACACAACAAAAAAGAATTGGTAAAATTGGTGAAGGCGTTGTTGAGTTATCCGCTTAACAACACATTTTGCGATTATTTTTTACATATTGTATATTACATACTAGTTTTTTCGCGCGAATTCGTTCGCGTCGAATAGTGACTTTATGATTTTGGTATAAAAACTATCCTAAGTATATCCTTTTGCCAGTTCCAAACTATGTCTGTACCAAATTTCACCGAAATTGGCTCAATAGTTTAGGCGTGAAGACGGACAATCAGAGTTACTTTCAAATTTATAATATTAGTTTGGATTGTGTCGAGAATAAATATTATAAGAGTTACTTATAATATTATAGTAGATACCTAGTACAGAATTAATTCTGAATAACAGAAACTCATTTCGCTTGACATATATAAAATGAGGGTAGTGGAAAGAAAGAAAGATAAATAGATAGGTATAGATAAATTAAACCGTGAGTTTTTAAAGGTACGAAAATGTTTTTTATCTAATACAAAATATAAAGAAGATGTACCTAAAACACTGCACCATTTTGTAGGCCGCTTCCATTAATTCATGTCTCGGAAATTTCACACCTCTGAAAATCAACAAAGTAAAATTTTAATAACATGTAATATTAGGCAGTGTATAGTTAATATAAAAGAATAAATAAACCGTTATAAAAGAAATCCCCAATTTTGTTGCTACCTAACACTTATATGAATTTAAAATGACCTGATTATCAGATAAAATATTGAATTGAGATTGCTGAGTCATTTTGACTATTTTTATTTTATATCTTTTATCAATAATAAATTTCCATTAACATTTGCATAATGTTGATGTCTCTACTTAAGTTACTTTGTAATCGGATTCCATTACATCATTATTTTATTTAGTGTTTTTAGAGTTCTATGGCCAAAGGGTAAAAACGAGAACTATAATACTAACACTCTGATCTTTGTCTGTCTCTCTGTCACCATGCTAGACAGTTGAAATGTGATGATGATTAATCTGTCAATTAATCATCATCACATTTCAACTGTCTAATTTAATAATAAGTTAATTGACAGATTAATCATCATCACATTAGTATTTCTATTATCACAATATTATATGGATCTCATACAAGAAAAGTTTTTGCTACGGAACACTTCATAAGTGAGTCCGACGCACACTTGGCTGGATTTTGAGCTTATCACGGACAAACAGACGGACAGATAGACAAAGAAAGGAAAAGAGAGACTTAGTTTTATAAGAATCGGGCCTATTGTAATTTTTAGTAATACTTTTCATTCACGAGAAATTGTTTATCACACTTATATTACAAATTTTAATGTTTACAGTCAATTCCTTATGTACTTTATCACATGATATAACAGAAGATCTTTTAAAGAAACATTGTTACACAATCCTTTAGGTATTTTAACGAAATATAGTAATACTTACTTGAGCAATGCGTGTGCTGCCACATACCAGTCTATCATATGTTGCGTTTTCTCCTCAACACTCATTTTAGGATCACTCTCTATTGGTTTGTAGATGCCAGAGAGTCTATTGTCCTCATCTTTATAATGCTGTGGTATTGACGGACACTCACGGAACATACCTAGAAACAATAAAACTTAATACATTAATTGGATGAACATTGTCGCATCCTTATATGAAGTTTACAACAATGTTTATTGAAAGAAATATTTGAATTGTTAATTTTGAAATCGTTAAAATAATTTAAGTAAACCAGGCATAGGTTTTTTTCCCTAACGTCTAATTCCACCTGCGGACGTGGGCCTCCCCTAGCTACTAATAGTCAGTCCGTCAGCCGGCCGCCGTGGGTCTTTGGTGTACGGACGCAGAGAGGCGGACGCCTCGCGGTTTTGACGACCGGTGCGTCAAGAGGAGAGGAAGTAGGATGTATTCTTCTCCCTTTCAGTGTCCTTTGCATACTTGCGCTCTCACTATAGAACATAGTTCGTACTACGATCAACAATGTCAAATCATTGCCGTTCCCAACCTCTCACCACTATAACGGCGTGCAGACACGCGGTTAGGCAAGTCGCGTCTACCACTCCGCCATTCTTTCGTGGCGGAGTTCAGACCATCGGCGTCGTGCATTCGGTCCAAACGTGGAACACTCGCAACCATCATCTGGGCAGTCATAAATAATATGTCACCTACAAGGTGAGGCGAAAGCCTTTGCTTTTGGGTCCTAGGACAGGATCCAGCTGGCCGATTCGAAAGAGATCGGTTTCAAATTTCAATCTGATAGCCAGCGCACGCTGCTGACCTTGCAACAATGCAAGTTCCGTGCCGTCAGATCGTCCTCTTAAACCGGTGACCAGTAGAGCGCACAATCCCTATGAAACGCCGCGGACATTGCTGCGGCTTAAATTTGGCAACCAACATCCGAAGGTAGGATTTGAAGTCCTATTGACTATAAAGGACCAGTCCGAGATAGATCGACACCTGTGTGAGCCTAAAGGTGGATCCAGTTAAGCCCTATGCAAACGCAAGGTCTCAGTTTCGTTAAAAGACATCTCTAGGCCCAGACGCGGGATCCTCGATAGGTCTTGCGCAACAGCAGCCCGTAACGTCGCAGTAACTCTTGCCACGTTCACCAGCGCATTTTCTGCATAGACAACAATGCAATGGAGCAAAGCATCCCCAATTATTCACGGGAGTATTCCCAAGAAGTAGAGAAACTGGTTGATTATTTTTAACAATTTTAATTCATGAAAACCTCATGTTCAATACTGTAAGTTTCCATTTACCAAACAATTTGCGAAATGTAGATTAAGCTGATAAAAACTACTGTGAAAGTGTAAGATTTGCTGTAATTTCAAAACAACTGTAAGCAATCTGTTACACAACAGGTTGAAATGACCAAGGCGATAGCAGAACTGTTATTGCGCTTATTGCCTTCATATCTGGTTGCATTCGAATAATGCAATTTATTGTGCTTTTTAAATATTATCTTATCTATATCACAATATTTTTTGATGTACAATTTATTTCTAATTTGTAAGCAAAAAGGTTTCATAATTGATACTTCTAGATTTACATTTACAAGAATAAAATTGTAAAAGCTGCAGAAGTTTTATGAGATAATAATGTCACAATTGCATAATCTACAATATTACTGATTTATCCTTAAGTTGCCAACGGACATAGGTAGTGAATTCAGTTATTTTAGTCACCTGTTAAAAAATAATTATTTAATGCAATCAAATGAGTATATTTTTTGTTAGAAAATATTTACATCACATTATAAGCTATTTGTAACCAATTGATTATAGACAAGTTAAAAATCAATTACTATTCAATTACAAGTCATTAAATAAATCATTACTAAATTACAGTATGTATTAACTACTTTTTATTTTTTCAGTTAGGAATTTTGATATCACATAATAACTTAAGTAAAACACTAATTACAGAAACTGCTGCTAATTAGAACATACAAGAAAATATTGACATGGATGTTTCACTTTTGGGGTATACAGAAACACCAAATACCATGATTCTGACAAACCCCTTTCATTTCTTTCATTCATAAGTCCGTCATTGATTGAAGGCCATGGTCATACTCTGTTTAGACATGGTATAAAAGTCCTGTAGAACTAGTTATGTAAATGTAGTGTTGAGCTTACCAAAACTAGTGAGTACAACACTTCCATTGTCCATGGTGTGCCTGGTGAGCGTGTGGTCGAAATCTGTCACTATCTGCAGCTTGTTGTGACCGTCCTGAATCATCTTATTCAACTTCTGCAGCAACTGCTCCTTGTCCCGGATATGCACATTCTCTCTACTCAGCGCTGTTATTTTATTCAAACTCGATAAAGGTGCCATAGCTGTAACAAAAGTACGTAAAGTCATTAATAAAACAGCTGTTACGTTAATACTATACTCAATAAACTTGTAGTACAATACACAAAATTAAACAAGAAACGTATTCCCAACAAATAAGATAAGCACCTGCTAAAAATGTCACTGAACTCAATCACCAAGTGTCGTAACTAAAGATAAAATAATTTATTCACAAAGAAATTAATAAATAACGTTATCATAAGAATATAAATAGCGGAAAAAGACGAACAGCCCACGTTCGACCTTGGTGTAACAAAAACTGCTGTTTGAAGAACATTCAAATGTTTTGTCAAGTGTCAATTTAATTTTGTCATGTGATTGTCAACGTCAAATGCTAGCCGTCAGGTACACAGATTATGTACATCAAAAATTAGATGAGAAGGGTCTACAATCCTAAATAAATATCTCATACTCTAATATTTTTTTACAAACACAAAATTGTTTTATAGGTAATTCATAGTATTAAAGGTGGGCCTATCTTCACCACTTGTGAGTCCGCTTAAAAGTTAAATAGATTTTTCTAAAATCTATAATACTTTGACTATCCTGCCAGTCGAAATTAAGAACTAACTCTACGACCACCCGATCAATGTTGCAACCGACAACTAGGTAGGTTCAAATATTATACTTCTTTAGAAATAATTTTACCTGTTAAGTCATTAATTAGCAATTTTTAACAAGGTAATTTATTACTTACCTACTTGGATTCTGACTTAGAACACTACTTGCCCCACACTTGGATTTTCTTCTGCTGTATCGTGGATGCGTTTACAAACATACAATACAATCTTTTATATAAAAATGGATCGCAAAATGTGTTGGTAAGCGCATAACTCAACAACGCCTGGACCAATTATGGTAATTCTTTTTTTGTTGTTTGTTACTGTCAGGTGAAGGTTCTTATTTAATAAAATATTAGAAAATTAGAGGGGAAGATTAGGAAAAAGTTACCCTTTGATAGCGAGAAAGTTGGACCCGTGCGAAGTAGGGGCGGGCCGCTAGTTTCAAATACAAATCATACCCGACCCGAAATAACAAATATTTCGAATCATACAAAGAGTTATTACTTAGCGGCAATAAAACCTGCGATACAGATATGCGTTTACTCAGCCACCGCTTCAATTGTGAAGTCTAATTAAATGTGTTATTTGATTTCAAATCCAGACCTTAGCGAAAACACTGAGGTATAAGATACTTCTACTTTCTAAGTACGTAATTTATTCTAGTGTAACTTTCACTTTTGCTACTATGGTAAATGTTACTGGAGGTACTTCTTTTTGATGATTACACCATGCCCGACCATAGCATTGGAACCTTATTCTGCCTTTAGGCTGCTGTACGTGTGATCACTTGGACAACAAAGTTTTGTATACCGATTCTTGTGGTTATCTTTCTTCATAATTAAATTCAATCAACCACTCCACGACTGAATTTAAAATTTCAATTAAAAATAATAAAACAGATGTTTCAAAATATTCATATAATATGTATTTATATTTTTGTTATTTTTTGCTCTTCAGTATCACAAAAGTATACAAGATTTACATTTATTAAGGTTACAAATTATGCTTTATAGTACATTTACATTATTTATTACTTGTAAACGAACTTATCAGGTTCAACAAGCACATGTAGCCACAGGGAATGTCTAACATAGGTGAAGATATAAAGGTAAACTGCCTCTGTGGATCCAACATACTGTGAAAAATTAATACATGTTTGAAGAAAACATTTATACAGATTATACATTTAAACAATATACTTCTCACAATTTGTAACATATTTTCTCTGATTCATTTAAATTGGGGCAAGAGAAACAGTGTATCACATTCACTATTTTACATAAAAGTTATTACAGTATATAACTCATTAAAAATATTATAAGTTATAATGAAACTGGGATTTTCTTACAACAGTGAAACAACAAGTTTCGTAGATGAAACATAACCAAGGTACTATTCCCCAATATCATCTCTACCATTAATGTAAATAATTCAGTATTTGATTACACTAATAAAATATAAATTAATAAATTTACTATACAATATTGTTTATAAATCAGGAGTAAACAAGTTCAAGCCAGTCCTTTTAAAAAGTGTCTGTGTCTCCGTAAAATCGCTTCGATCGTCGTCAAGGTTGCCACACAACAAAAATGGGATCATTTATTTCTGGCTGTACCCGTGACTACGTTTCGTGTTGAAAATATAAATTAAAAATAAGATGGCAAGGAAAAAAACCGTCTCTTATGCAGATTACAGAAGCACTAGAAGGCAGATATAGAGATGGAAGACCTCAGTGGACGCCCTCTTACTCATGGACTTTAGATAGACCAAGAAAACAAAACCGTCTTACGCGTATCTTTTGCCAAGTCGTACAATATTTTACCATGTGCCACGGATATGTATATTTTATAGGACCAAAAACCTATGTGCTATTCCAAAAATCGATCGCATAATGTTTGAATTACGACAATAAATTATATAGATTATAACGAAACAACGTAACTTATGTACAGCTTGCGTTAATAAATAGTGGACGGCTGTTCAAAGAAATACCTACATAATTTACAGTTACATAAATTTGGCCTGGGCCTTCCAAAACCTGAACACACTTTTGTTGCAACAACCTTGACAGACATACTTGCAATATGTAACATTTATAAAAGTAAACCTAACATGCAATTGGTTTGATTTTTGATAATTATTGAAAGATGAATATAGTGCTTAAACAAGACCCATAATTTTTTGATTTTTAAAGACAGTCCAACAACCCAAACTTAACCGGATACAAAAACTATAAATACTAAAACAAAATCCTTATTTATCTATGTTTGTGGTAAAAGTGTCTATTGCACAAGGGTTCTAAATTTAAAAGCTGATATAGGTAAATTAGGTGATGCTTAGCTACGTAAAAGAAGCAAATTGCAAAGTTAATTTGCTCAGTGCTTGTTAAGGTTTAAGATAAGAAGCTGTAAAAAGTAACATACCAAGCTATAATATTATTTCACAACTCAAAATTAATTCACTTTATACAAATAAACAAATTATTATATTGTACAGGTAACTAAGTTAAATAAGTTCGTTATTGGGAGACAATCGGATGCAGTTTAAATGTTAACAATTGAATTTAATTGATCCCATTCGATGCATGACTATCTAGCGTTTAATTAAATAGTGTAATTAAGTGTTGGCAACCGATTGTCTCCGAATAATGATCGCAAGCCGCTTGTAAGCCGGTTAGCCGTTGGATCGTCAATCGTCGCTGATCCGTCGCCCTTTTTTGGACTTTTTCTTCTGCATAGCCTCCAGTCTCATATCTTCTAAGTCTTCCATAATACCTGGAAAGAGGAGACATGGTTTATTCATTATTGGGATAGTTAGTAAAATACAAAAAAAGTTGATGGAGCTATGATGGTCTTACAAAAATTATGGAAACTTAAAGTGAGCAAAAAAACACATGATAATCCCAGAACATTGCTAGAAAAAATCACTAAGGTTATGCTATGATAAAATTACATACACCACTATTAGTAATTTTTCCTAATGTTTTTCGCGTGGATGAGCGATACATTTGTTGATTTCGGCGCAAATGAAGCGGCTCAACCGCAATGGATACCACTGTCTTACAGAAAATCGGCGTAGAACAATGCTTGCGTCCCCCGAAAACTGAAAACACTGATGTGACTACTCTGGTGTGGCAACTCAGAAGTGGAATGGATTGCTTGCCATCAATCAGGTGATTTGTGTATTCGTTTACCGACCGATACCATAAAAAACTGCAGCCGTTGTGCGATAATTTATTCTAGAATCATCCATAGTAACAAACCAATAAAAATGCTGTTATCACAATCATAATGACGCATTAAAATAACGCGTAGTTCGTCAAGCCTTAAGAAGAGTCAAAGTTGTTACATAACATCAATTTTCGAGGCAATTACATATAATTGGGCATAGCGACCATAACACAAATTAATTTCTTTTTATTGCACAATATTAACAAAGAATTTAATTTGTGTTTTGTCGACTGTAGATTATAACATGTTCATGTGCAAACATGTTTTTTGACATATTCGTATTTGTTTTGTGGTATCGATAACTATAGACTACGGAATTCTGCGAAACAACAATTTTTTCTGGTAAACCAATGAAGAAAATATAGGCTACAATCAAGTACAACCCTATTTAACATCTCGGTGACTCATAAATAATGTAGGTACTAGATACACTCCACTGACAGTGCATTGTTATTTAATACTATCAGGAAACACCAAGGTCAAAAATAAGTTCGATAAGCAACCTAGTGGTTGTTAACTGGACGTCGATAAACAACCTTATGTCATTGCTATAAGGCGTTATTTATTGGATGCAATTTTTGCGCGCAAATAAGTCGTGATCTCGCTCTGACAGATAATAAAAAGACTAGTGTGATAGAGACAGAAATATACACTTACCAATCTTTTTACTAATGTACTCCTCGCGTTGTTGCCGCGCGAAACTAGACTCCATAGTTGGATCGTCGTCATCATCCATGTCTCGATATCTGAAAAACAGAATACGAATTTATTTTAACAACAATCCTTAAAACTGTCATATAACATAGAACATTTCCTTGTAATATTGTAAGCACATCATGTGTTAAAAGAAGGGAGGAAGCTGTGTCATTCGTGCGGTAACCTCATACGGCAAAACACAACGCTGTCGTTATTTTACGCTGGTATTCTGTAAATCGGTATGTAATCTGGTCGTTGTATCACTGTTGTGGAGCCAGTTCATTCGTGTCGGAGCGTGGCTCTCCCACAGTGATCATTGTAAACAGAGTATCAGTTCTAAGTCTGGGATAGCCAATACCCGTCCGATAGCAAAGCATTGCTTTGCCGTGTGAGTGAGGTTACCTGAGGTCCAATCCTTTCTCCCCATTCCCTAAATCCCCAAAAGGTCAACAACGCACTCCTAACACCTCCATTGTTGCGGGTCTCCATGGGCGATGCTGATTGCTTACCATCAGAATGTTCGTTTAATAGCGAAATAGCGAATAAGGTAGACTTACTTAGATTTATCATATCCAAATATCTCCTTAATGTGTTTGGAGTAGTCCATTTCATCATCACCATCATCAATGAAGTCATCGAGTTCGGAATCGTACTCCGAATCCGAGTCCAGAGCGCGCCCTGCGGAAAATGAATAAAAAAGTCAGTATTAAATAAATCCTGAGCTCACCAATTATGGCAGAATGTCAGTACCTAATTTTATTAGAGTGACAACCTTCCTCCACAACCCAACATGCTATATGGTTGGGCATTTTTTAACGACGATAAACTTCATGGCAAAATATAGAACTGGGACGTTAGCTCCGTAACCGTAACGAAACTATAGGATATCCGATACAAAAAATATCTATAACCGTAACCGAATCCGAAATAAAAGAAAAATCGGAGCCTAATTGAGACACGTTATGTTTGTATTTTTACTATGAAAAATTCATTAAAATTTTAATATCCGTAACCGAAATTATCCGAAACTAACGGATAATCCGAAATAATTTCATATCCGTATCGGTAACCGGATCCAGTATAATAATCATTCCTATATCCGTATCTAATTAGTATCCGAAATTTAATAACTATAACATCTCAGGTATATAATCGCATTGGAGTCAAACATAACAAAAATTAAGCTGTACAATATCACTTACGTTTTTTCTTCTCCATAGCTTTTCTCCTGACATCGCCTGGTGGGAACTGCCGCGTACCGTCGGGCTTTCTCGCGCCATTCTTACCCAAACCATTAATGTGCTTATCGAAATCAAATGTACTTGTAATCTTAGGCTTACTTGGGCCAGCTTTGTCATTGGCACCAAGTTTCCTATCATCAGGTCTTTTAGAAGGCACTCCTTTGTTATCTACAAGCCTCTTGTCATTCATTTTCTGAGATCCTTCGGCAGCTCTTTGCTTAGCTGGTAGAGCTTTATCCTTGAAGCCATTTTGATGGATTGGCTCTCTCTGCTTTGGCACTGCTTTACCTTGGCTGCTGTGGCCATTTAATAATTTACTATCAGATTGTTTACTTGGTACAGCTAGTTTCCTTTCATTAGAATTCTTATCTATCCTGTATGTATTTTGGCTCTTTAAGTCTATGTTTTTATTTACATCTTGTTTTATTCCTTCCTTATAACTTAATTTTGATCTATCTACAGGTTTATTAACACCTTTGACTCCCTTTTCTGGGGGTCTACTGCTACTCTCTAACTTAGATTTAGCCTTTTCTAACTTTTCTCTATCTCTGTTAAGTCTATCTATGTCCCTTTCAATTCGTTCTCTCTCCGCCTTCAGCTTGTCAAGTCTCTCTCTGTCTATTCTTTCCTTTTCACGTTCAGCCCTATCTTTTTCTAGTCTTAATCTATCTCTTTCCTTTTGCAGTTTCTCTATTTTTTCCCTCTCAATTCTCTCTCTGTCAGATGGTCTAGGACTATCATTTCTAGAATTCAGATTGTTAATTTTGTCTGAGACTTTGGGGATGCGCCCTAACCCTAAACTTGGTTCAGGTCTTCTTTCTCTTTCGGGCTCCCTTGGTCTGTCATCTCTTGATCTGTCATCCCTTGGTCTATCGTCTTTTTGAACTGGAAAATAAGATACAAAATGGTACAGTCATACAATTTCAAATGTATTAAGATTGAAATGAATGTGTAAATTTAAACAAGTCTTTAAAAGTATGTAAGCTTTAATTGAATTTATATACTTACCTTTCTTGCCACCATTTCTCTCGGCCTCCAACCTCTCTAGACGACGTTGACGTCTCGCCATCTCCTCCTCATAATCTCTTTTCTGTTTCTTGGTCATCAGTCTCTCAGGGCCTGCCTCAGTTTCCGCAACAACTTCCTTCTTTTTCCCTATTTCAATTGGTTCACTCTTTTTTTGTTCAGCTAGTTTCAACAGTTGATTGAAGTCCATAGGTGGAGGTGCTGGTTTGCGAAATTTAGGCTTTTCTGTCTTAGTTTCCTTTTTTTCAGGTTCATATTTTGTTGGTGGACTTGATTCTCGTTCTGAAACATTTTACCTTAGAAGTTAGCTAGAAGATTACTTACATTATTATTTATCAAATTGGACAATTACAAACATAGCTTATTAGAAACTCAAGCAAAGTATACCTCCATTTTCTCCTTTCCGGCGACGCTTATGGGGTACTGGATCTTCTTCATGTTTTAAGGCATGTTTTACTCGCTCTCTTGTGCCATTGAGATCTTTTTTTACAAATGAATCTAGAAATTTATAAGACTGGTTATAATAAACTCAATCAATTAATTTAAATTGTGATTGTAAAGATTAGTATATTTACATCTTAATTTCTTCTACAGTAACACTTCTTCTTGTCTTGAAGAAATGGCTTTTTTAGTAATAAGACCACAATATTAACCACATACCACAGTATATGTTAGTTATTATCTGTGTTTTTATGGCATACAATGAAGAATATTCTATCAATCAATATCTTAACTAAAAACCTGAACTGAAAATGTTAGTCTAACATATAGTGGCCATTTCTGACTGCACTATGTTGAACCCAAATTCAAAAACATTTGATCATAGATCACACTAAATTATTGAAAGATTTCCATAAGGTGAGACAGAAAACCAAATTAGGGTAAAGGTATTATTGTACAAACATGATTTTTTTATTTACCACTGAATGGAATCATTATCTTTAAACAGTAATTGTATCTCATATCTACCAGATAATGATTATACATAATAATATTTCATTATTTCTTTTAAAAAGTAAAAAAACGAATCAAATATATTAAACACACATTTGAACATCTGTAAGCAACAAATTATTGTTACTTACAGATGTGCAATCATAATGTCCATTTGTTAATTAACTAATTAGAACCAGACTTGGTAACTCTTTACCTGTATTTATACTTTTCAAATATTAATAGTTGACCTACATAGTATTTCTAGAAAGGGATTCAAAAATAAACTTACTTCCAACAGGAAATTTAGGTTCAACTGGTATTTTGCTATACTTTTCCATCATCTTTTCGTAAATAGCTGCCGCCTCCTGGGATTCATACCCGTAATCATCTTGATCGGGCTGGTCCGGCCCCTCACGTGTCACTGCAGTATTATCCCGGTCAATAGCATCAGCAATTACAGACTTATTGGCAGACTTGATCACTTTTAGAGTTTTCTGAATCTTTTTCATTGCTTTAGGATCTCTCATGGCAAGGAGTTCATCTCTTTTCCTCTGAGCCTCAATTTTTTTTTGCCTCTCTTCTTCATCCTTCTTTGCCAAAAACTTTTGGATATTTGCTGACAATCTGTCCCTCTGTTTCTGCTCTTTCTTAGGCGGGTCAAAGCGTGCCTTGTAATATGCATTTTCCTGAAACCACATCAATTAAGTATTATGTACGTACATTTTGACAATAACAACAAAGTAAAAGTATTCTCAAGCTCGACCAAAGAGATCCAATAAGTATAAATACTAGTTACTAGGTCTCGGACAGTATCATTATCATCTAGAAACTTATCAAAATACAGAAGAATGCGCATATTTTTTGCAAAATTATGTGTTACACTCACAGATGACTTTTGTTGTTGATTCCGTTGAGCTGCTAACAACGTCTCTCGGAACTCCATGTTTTCGGAATTAAATAATTTTGCAGAGGTAAACCTTCTACAAACACAATAACATTGCAAAATTTTCACAAATTATTTTATAAAAGTCGTAAAATACGTGTCATGCCCGATTTTGATACACAATCCCACCATTTTCTGGAAACGTACTGACAGTGTTGCCAACTTTGACAACAAAAGTCAAGAGTTATTGCCAACATTAAACTTACATTATTAAAAGTTAGACAATTAGAATTCGGTACATAATTATTTTGTATGTTGCGATGAATATTTTGTATTTGATAATTAAGACCACAAGCTGTATTTTTATAAAAATTTTATTTGTTTTAAGTTATTTGTATAATATAATGCAGATGATGAGGAAGATGACATTTTACATTCAAAGTAAACAATTTACAATAACAAATGTAATCAATATATCAGCCTACTATGATTGTGTACATTTTCATGTCTAAAAATATAAGTGAAACTGTGCTAATTATAAGAAAATGCCGCAATGTATTATTTTGTCTATTCTCCTAGAACCAAAGGTGCCAGAGACAAATCAGATGAAACTTTGACAGTGACAGAAGGATACCCTTCTCTTTCTTTTGAAAACTTGACTGAAGACGAAAATATGGTTGGTGTGAAACTTATAATTTTTATCTAATTATTTCTATAACATCACTTACTAAATCCAGTAAATTCAGCGTGTTTAATTTGTTATTGGTGGAAACAGTGCCCTCAAATGTATTATTTACAATAATGATGCGGAAACACTTTAGTAAAACCTTTTTGTTGTTTCGCTGCAGGCCACCTCCAAGAAGAAGACCAGGAAGCTACGAGGACACGTGAGCCATGGCCACGGTCGTATCGGTAAGTTTCATCAATATTTAGTTTAAAATAATATATTTTACTGGAAATTATCAACAACCTAACCTCAACTTGTCAGTCAGACCTAACCGGGCTCTGCATGCCTTCTGAAAACAAACCAGCACTATCTTAAATTAAAGGTTCTAATGGATAACTTATTTTCTGTCCTAAATCGAAATTAAAATCCAAAATTCTATCCTTGCAACCTTGTTAGTTATCCACATTGTTAGTTGTTGTTTTTGTCACAGATATCACTTAGTGCTAGATTGTAATTATTGGCAAATTAATACTTTTCATTATACCTAATACATACATAATACACCAATACTAAACTATTAAGTGTGAATTCTATTCTATTACTTTATCATCATGTTAGTAATCAGGAGAAATAAAACTTGTCTAATGAGAAAAAGGTATTTGTCATGATACATAGTCATTTATTACTGTTACGTTACAGGAAAGCACCGCAAGCATCCTGGAGGTCGCGGTAACGCTGGTGGTGAGCACCATCACAGAATCAACATGGACAAGTACCATCCTGGATACTTCGGCAAAGTAAGTAAATTTATTTGTAATCTTACACGACACAGGAGAAAATCCTAGTGTGGGGCAACATTATTTAATATAAACAATGCTTTTATCTGTATATTAAAGCTTGTTTTAAGTACTTAAGGATACAAAACTGTCTAATTTGTTCTACTATGCTGTGTTTTTGATGCATTTTAACTACAAGATCAACCAATGATGCCATGTTTTAAAAATATATCAATAGTTTGACTACTAACTACAAATATAATTGTATATATACATATTATGAAGTATGTTTGAGAAACAACAATTTAAATATAATTTTCATTTGCAATGTGCACATGTAGAAATACTGTATAAAATATTTTTTCACAAACATCATTTTACCATAATACATAGTCGGGTAATATCTTAACCTCATTTCTTGTTATGTAGAAAACTTAACATTATTTATTTATTCTAGCTTGGTATGAGGAATTACCACGTCAGGAAAAACAAGTTGTTTAACCCTGTATTGAACCTGGACAAGCTATGGACTCTGGTGTCTGAGCAGTCCCGCCTCAAGTATGCCTCAGCCACCGACGGCAAAGTACCCGTCATCAACATTGTCAAGGCTGTAAGTATATTCAACTATGTCCACTTATGAATTAAATTAAATAAATTATTAATGGCCAATAAGTACACAATATTTAGTTTTGCATCTTACATAATAAGAATACTGACTCCTGCATTATTTTTCTCATTAAAACAAGAATTTAATGCAAGAATTGCTCTGATAAAGAAGTGTTTTCTCAAAAAGGAGGATTCCATCCCAACCAATGCTCTACTTATAAAATACTTATTCTTTTATTTTCAGGGTTACTACAAGTTACTAGGCAAAGGCAAGCTCCCCAAGCAGCCCGTCATAGTTAAGGCTAAGTTTTTCTCCAAAACAGCTGAGAAAAAGATCAAGGCTGTAGGAGGTGCCTGCGTTTTGTCTGCGTAATTTAAGTATACATTAAAAATCTAAAATCCATTTTTGTTTTATTTTTTATTATAAACTTTAGACTGTAATTCCATTCCCCTGATCATGTTGTATAAGACATGTATGCTAAGACAGCTTTAGAAGATAGTTACCTATTCTATTATGTTGATGTAGCCCAGTTATCAAACAATGTTTTGGTGTACTCAGACATCTATTTCTCTCAATTATGAACACAGGTTTCAGAGATCTATGATTGTAGCCTGCTTTAAGTGTTCAACAAATAGAATTAATTCTATATGCATTCTCTGTCTACTTCGCTTGTACAGATTCCTATTGTCCTCATCTTGCAATTGTAAGTTTAATTTAGTAATTATACACAGTAATTATACTGTCCATGTTTCACCACTGTGTTTGCCTTTACCATGGGTATATCACATTAGTTCTTGCAAAGTTGCGAATCGCACCCTCGTGTATGTACCTCTTACAAGGGTCAAACTCTCACCTAAGGAGCATCGAAGCGGAGCGCTCTTCTCCACTTGCATTGTTGTAATACTTGTCATCAAATGAGAAACTCACGGCATGGCATTCCCGCGGCCCCGCTCTCTTGATGTGCGTTGAACAAAGAGGATATAACCACATAGTGGTATGTGGTTATATCGTCATTGACGTTGAGCCTAATACCTACCTAGGTATATCAGTATAATATACCTATAACTGCGCGGTTGACGCAGGGCTGGGCAAAGGGCTGCGGCGTTACGCGTCGCGGGTTCGATCTCCCACGGAACAACTCTTTGTAAACGCTCCAACTACAGTAGAAAATCCAAGTGTGGAAAAACGTTTTTTTATTATAAACAAATCTCATTTTGCCACTAGGTAGGTATCATCTATAATCTTCGCCTTAGAATCTTGGTAGTGACGGATTGTTGGTAGGTAAATCAAAAGGAAATGAAATAAAACCACATTTATATAGCATATTATAGTACTCGATATTAATAGGCATATACTTATCTAATTCAAATTCAGCGCGATATATAATAAATTGTCGATCGTAGTCCATAATCAATTAGTATAATCAAATAATAAAAATAAATGTAATACAAGCTTTTCATAAGATTTCGCCGTCAAACATAAGAGCCCCCGCACACTGGCCACTTAGTGGCGGCCACGCTTCAGCCACTAGTGGCCGCCACAACCTGCGGACGCGTTTCTTCATACATTTTATATAGAATCGGCGCACACTGAGCGCTTGAGTGGCCGCGTCCGAGCCACAAGCTGCGAGAGTCGAGCGCGCTCGCTACTTGTGGCTGCGTTTTGTCGTTCGACTCGTGCGCATACACGGCCACAGTTGCCGGCTTCTTCCCACCCCTGCGCGCCGCTCCCCAATCCCGTCTCCCGGGTCTAGTCTTGTTGTAAGCTGCGTACTGAATGCACGTGCATGATGTCCACGGATCCGATTCCTCATTTTGATGTAGACGCTTTTATTTCCGATGTCGAAGAGCGACCCGCTATTTGGGATTTAAAGTCAGATTTGTATAGCGACAGGGGTAAGAAAACTGAAGCTTGGGAGGAATTGTGCCTAAAATTTATTCCAAATTTTAGTGAAAAAAATGTAGCGGAAAAAAACAAAGCAGGTAAGTTTTTGGACAATTTTATTTTACATTATTATTATATATTTATTATATTTTATTATTTTGCCAAGGTACAGCTCCCTCGTTGCTAATAAAATAATCTTTCAATATATCTCTGGTGTTTAATGAACGACGAGATTGCACGTGGGCGTTATCGATATCGTGAAGTCCTGGTACAGTCAATGTATGATGGAAATTAAATCCATCTCTCTGACGAACAAAGTTGTGTAGTATACAACAGGCCTTCACGATGTCTTCGGCGAAATCTATTGACACATTCAATGGTCGATGTAGTATTCTCCACTTATTCACTAATATCCCAAAGGCACACTCGATATGACGCCTGGCTCGAGAAAGCCTATAGTTGAAAATTCTTTTTTCAATATTCAAGTGTTTTCCTGAATAAGGTCTCAACATGTGTTCTGCAAGACCAAAAGCTTCATCACCAACAAAACAGTAGTTTACAGGACCAGAACTACTAGAAATTGCTTTTGGTGCAGGTAAATTCAGGGATTGGTCTTCCAATTTTTTGAATAATTTCGATTCTTTGTAGATAGTCGAATCTGAAGCTTTCCCATAAGAGCCGACATCAATAAATGTGAACTTATAATTCACGTCACAGATAGCTAGAAGTACGATGGAAAAATAGTGTTTATAATTATAATATAAGGATCCGCTATCTTGAGGCTTAATAATCCTTATATGTTTTCCATCAATTGCACCACAGCAATTTGGAAAGTTAGCATATTCTTCAAACCCCTTAGCTATTTTACTCCACATCTCTTCAGTTGGTTGTGGTACGCAGATATCTTGAAGTGATGCATAGATCAATTTACATGTTTCTTTTACAATCAATCTCGCAGTTGACGCACCACATCGATATACTAATTCAAAATCACCAAATGAACAACCAGTAGCAAGGTACCTGCAACAAAAAGAACAGATTAGAAACCTTTGATTATGTTATTTTTATGTTTCAGCATCCCAGTTGCAGCGAAAATGGAAAAGCCTTCGTGACTGCTTCAAAAGAGAACACTCTAAACAAATGAGCGTTAAAAGTGGATCTGCATCATCGAGTCGCAAGCCGTATATATATTATCAACAACTATCTTTTTTAAAAAACTTGGCTGACACACGACGTGATCCCAGCCCATTACCGAACGAGGTACACGATGCGACTGAGAGAAAAAGGCCAAAAAAGAACAAGACAAATAATGAAGACATTCAAGCAGAAACTGATATACTTGTTAGTATTTCAGAACAATTACAATCTCGTCATTCTAACAAGCATGAAGAAGACGCTGACCATAACTTTGCTTTGTCCTTGGTCCCGCACTTTAAACAAATACCCAATGAATTTAAATTGGATGCTCAAACCGATGTATTGATGGTACTAAAAAAATATAAACAGTATATGCGAACATCACAGAATCAACAACATGGATATTTCACATCATCATTTCAGGAACCACGCTCATACCATACTATGCAACCATCTACTTCGGGTTATCAACCGACTCCGCGTCCATCTGCTTTGGGATATCAATCGGCTTCGCGTCCACCTTCTATGGGATATCAATCAAATTTTGAGCATGACTTTTCCGTTACCTCGCCATCTGCATCTGATAATACTATGAATTCTGTTTTGTCAGATGATATAAATGAACATCTTTTTGACAACTGACTATGTAAAAGTAAATGTGTATTTGTTATAAAAACTGTATATCTGCGATATGTAACTTGATTTAGTTTGCGATTTTTCAATTCTCATTAATAAATAATTTCTATTTCAATTTGGCTTTTTTAATTGTTTGTTTTACGTTCTAGAATCCACGTGAGTCGCAAACTAATAGAAGCAAAATGATACGAATGAATGATACTTACCTTAAAGTTATAGCCAGCCTTTCTGTTGGAGAGATGCTTTTTCTCATGCGTGTATCTTGATGTTTGAGGTCATCGTGCAAAACGCTAAGTAATTCATTGAATGAGTTCACGCTCATTCTAAAATACTTGAAGAACTTATCTGGATAACATTTTAACTCTTCGAACAGCAATTTGTGCTGTCCATTTTTATTGCGTGATGTCAGAATTGGATGTACCCAGTGACGCCGATGAATTGGTCGTCGATGGTTCTGAATTCGGCGCCGTTTTCTACGTTTTAGAATAATAAGCAACAATAGCGAAATCAAGAGTGCGTCCATTCTTGGGCAACACACGTCTACCTCTGTCGAGATACTTGCAGCTAGTGTCTGACGCAAGTGGCAGCCACTGGTGGCTTGATGCGGCCACTAGTGGCTGCCACTGGTGGCGGCGTGTAGTGGTCTAGCCGAACTACTGGTGGTCGCGTTTAGTGGCGGCGACTGGTGGCCGTAATGTGCGAGGGCTCTAACTCCTCGGCGCATTTAGGATACAGAGAAAGTTTTCAACTTTTATTGTACTATGTAATACAATCAAATATTATTGTTGAAATTTGATAGATGTACTGATATCATCGCTAGATAAAACTTACGTAATTTACATAGTAAAGCACTTGAAAATTTTAAGAATTTTTGTTATATTGTACTTGAAACAAATTGGACCATTGCATCTACTCATATCCTTATATTTTATACAGGCAGTTAACAGGCTCAATACATTGAAGCCTTAACTCTATTGTAAAAAGCACTGGATTTCCAATTATAAAGCAAATATACCATGAGATCAATAAACAATATCCTTGATGTAAGTTTCTTATAAGTAAATAAATATTTTTCTTTCCATGTTTTTTTTATCTGTGTGCTATGTTATTTACCCAGCTCTTATGCAGTATTGTATTTAAATTACAATAAGGTAATAGATTGGCTTGTTAGTTTATGCTCTATGCACTAACTAATGTTACTAATTGAACATTACTTATTGAAATGCCTAGATTAGCATTTAGCATATTTATATAAATCTATACGAAGCTAAGAAATCGCTGGAAAGTAATAAAATTGTTAGTTATTATTGTTAAATTCTGAAATTGATTTAAGATTATGGTTGCATTGTACATTTTCATATTAGAACTGCATTTACTTTTATATAAAGCGGAATACTTTCAAGTAAAGCTTGCACAAAATTATTCAGTCCCAACAATTCTTACAATGCAATACTTTCTGATAGGCCATGTTTTATGTGTATATTGTTACTGTGTGTGTTTGTCTCATTTGAGGAACTTGTTCTGGAGGAGGTTGTGTTTGAACCACTTCTGCAGGCCGAGCTTGCTTGGCCTTTTTGCGAGCAGCATCACTCTCAGCATAGTACATCCCTAGTCTAGTTTTAATAGCTGCCAATGCAGCTCCATTAATTTCATCATGGAATATATTAGTGTACCTCCACTGTTTAACCATAGGACCTCTTTTCTTTTCTTTCTTTACTTTCTTTTCTGGTTTTGTGTCAACATGATGATGTATCATTTCAGTGGTTGTAGTGTGTGTGTAAGGGTTGTCTATTGTAATAGTGGAGTGTTGTTGAGGCTCAGGTTTAGCTTGCAACACAATAAAGGCTGTAGTAGGCTGTGTTGGTCTTGGGGCAGCAGACTGAAGTAAAATGCCCATGCTTTGTCCCCCATTAGGTGTTTGGTAGAAATTAGTTGCTGTGCCTGTTGTCAATGTTGCTGTCTGATACTGGTTTTGGAAATAGTTTTCAGCTATATTTACCAGGTGACCACTTCCTGGATAGGCAATAGGAGCCAAAGTCTCTTGTGGAACTTGAGTTTCCTGTTGGGGTTGCTCCACTTGTGGGACAAGCTCCATGTTTCTTTTAGATCTAGGCATAGTAGCTGATATGTTGTCTGGATCAAAAGTCTTAATGTAATCTTTCCACATTTTTGAAATGTTAATTTCCAATCCTGCAATTTTGTCCAATCTGATAAAATCTTTTAGTCGATGTGTGTGAACAATAGAATAAATGTGATTTCTTATTTGATCTAACATTCCTGACGGCAGCCGAACTTCTCCAGTGCGGCGGTGACTATTTTTACCACGGTTATCACTAGGAAACATGACGCCGTCATCCATTTTCTTGCAAAGAACTCTGACTTTTCTTTCTGTTATGGCATGAATATTTTTAAAAGCTGTTTGGCACACCTGTGTCTCCCTCCCCTTAACTCTAACGAAGTATTCAAACGTGCAAGTACGACGGCTACTGGATTTAACTCTTTTTCTCTTAACATCGACTTGTCTCATAAGTCCAAACAAATAAGCATTTTGTTCGTCGTGAGTTTTCATTGAGTAGAAGCCTTGAAATGTCTTTAGTCTAATATCTTCAGGGACCTTCTGAAAGCATTGTCTTCGACAGTTGCAGTCGGGACCCGGCCGTTTTGGTGGTACCACTTTTCCGTTTGCGTTTATATATTGTAAGCCTGCTATTCTTAGCCGCTTTTGCTTTTGTTTGTGCCATTCTGTAAATATTAAATTAATTTTACAATAATCGATCTACAATAATTTTAACACTGTTGTAAACTTCATTTCAGTTTTATATAAATAACATATCTTGTGTGTATGTATATCTAATAATGAAACAAATATTATAAAAAATAAGCAGAGGTTCCAGTGTTTATCATGTTTTACTATGAAATAAAGTCAAAGCAAACAGTTTCGAAACATTCAAGTAGAGTCACAAAAATGTAGTAAGGTAGTAAGAGTCAAAAACTGGGTAAAGTAATGCAGACATAACAATGAGAACGATGTATTAATAAAAGCAATCAGAGGTAATAAACGTTTCATATTTGAAAGCTATAAATAAAGTAACACTTGCCTTCTGGATTCCTTAGACGTCTTTTAACGATTTTCCCGTTTTTAGTAAACTTCACTTTGCGTTCATTATTTGAGACATCAGCCATTTTCGTATCAAAGCACAATGTTGAACTCCGCTATGGCTCACATCCATAGCATCGTAACTACCACAACTTTTGAGGTGTAACAAAACGTAACTACTACGTATAAATCTGCAACAAAACGCTATTCACCTTCTTGTTAGAACAAAAAAAAAAACACGGTCATTCACCTTATTAAAAAAAATACTAAACTTGCAGGAAAAGGAATGCATATAATTATTATATATTATTACATTTTGATTTTTCGTAAAGAAACAAACATTTAATGAATTCTCAATTCCTCAGTTCATTTTACCGCTCCACTGTATGTTGAACAATACCTGTAGTTACTTTAATGCAGCAATACAAAGCACTTTATCTAAGTTCACTGACACCACCAAATAAAATCGAGGATTTGGATTTGGTCAGCTGAGCGACATGGCCGCGACGCATACGCTGCTCATGAATAAGAGCCCCGTTGTAACTGGAAACTGGTAGACCTTTTCTTAATTCATTCACCTAAAACTCGTCGCCTAGGGTGACAAAATGGAGTGTCGAGACTCTTACTGCCTCAAAACTACCCCTAAGTGTGTCAGAGCCATGCTTCGGAGCGAATGCGATACCATGATCTTGCAGAATATTGGTGTGGCACAACCACGTTGTTTCACCGTGTGAGTCACAGAGAACATCTATACTAATATTATAAAGAGGTAAGTTTGTATGAAGGGGTAATCTTTGGAACCGCTGGTCGGATTGCCAAAATTCTTTCACTGATAGGTAGCTACAAAGTTCCTGAGTGCTATATACTTTAAAACATAACGCTACGACGAAATGGAGCCGTGCAGCCGAGACGGCGAGAGTAGCTAGTTTTTTATATACTGAGATGTGAATGAGGTTACCGGAAGCTCCAGCCTACTCTTCCCTTAACCTCTTGTCTGTCGGTATATGAGACACAATAGAAAACACATAGTGTCTCGCGTATATCTGCGCTCCGGCATACCACGGGTTAATCACCAAATCTCCAAAACTTTTATCCTCAAAAAGACGGCAACATACTCGTAACTCCTCCATTGTTGAGTCGTTGTATTCGGTTTTCGAACTCGAGTTAGAGAGAGTTCAACTCGATTGGATTCGAGTTACGCTCAACTCGAGTTCGCTACTCGAGTTGGCCATCACTAGTCGTTGTCGGTTTCCATGGGTGGCGCCAATTGCTTACCGTCAGGTCAAGAATATTATATACAACACTGGATGTTGCACCAAGAAAAAAGAACTGAGGACTAATAAAATGACCTTGATACACGTCATTTATGTTTTCCATCTCTTTCATCAGGGTGACAAGTATTTTTACTAGCTTTAGGATATTTTGTACATATTTATGATTGTTTAAATTCAACATTTCTATTTTAGTGTGGTTTTCGATCGTATTAGTTTTGGTTTAGTAATCTATACATACATATAATTGTTATAAAGTCAATTCTGTACATTAAATATATTTTGAAAATAACTATCAGAGGTGATTGGTAGTCGATAAGTCGATACTGATGCCAAAAATACAATCGCTAAAATGTTTGTCTGTCTGTCTCTCTGTCTGTCGTATGTTCCTTATCCCATTCGTTGTTACCAACGCACTATTTGCGTTGATCGAGAAAACTACGTCATGCCACCAACATACCGTATGCGTTGAGGGTACCTTAGGACTTTTATTGGCATTACATAAAAATTATAAAAAATATTTAAATATTTGTCAACATTCATGGCCAGAAACAATGTTTAAATGTAGAAATACTGTTGGTTTTTGCTTTGAACTGTATTTTTGTGCTGATAAGGTAAAAACGGTTGGTGCCGTGAAGATCGATTTTGATTTTGGAATAACAGATTTAATGAGTGTTTACCGCATATTTGTGAATTGTCCATCGCCTGCGCTGCGCCGGCCCCGTCGCTTTACGTCGCTTGTGTGTGTTTTAGGTCTAAGGCGAGCACAAAGCGTGCGCGGATGCTGTGCGTGTTCAGCGCATGTTATCTTAATACACCCTTAAGAGTACTTACGTATACAAACAACCGTTAACACTTAACAGTAATATTGCTATATCTAGTTATCATTTCTTTGGATATTAAACTTGACACTATTGAACTATTTGAATATTTTGGCAGGTAAGCAACACAAATTAAAAAGAAATACTACGTATGTAAACAATAAGGATTATAATGAGAGGTATTCTTCCAAAAACACCCCTTGAAAACAAGTCAATCTGATAAGTTCCCATTTAAGCTTAAAAATTACTTGCAGCTAAAAGCCAATATTTGATTTCATAAGTCCTTACCAGTCCACGATATCAACCATTCCAGTTACAAGTCCTCGTTTTTATTCCAAATCATAAAGCCTAGTATCAAGTCCTTTTTATTTAAATAATAACAAATGTTTATACATATTGAAAGAGGGCAAATTAAGATCATGTGCATTGACGATAGGATCCCGATCACGATTTTCAGCCACCATAGGCGCGGGCTAGCGGATGGTGAATAATTGGTAGATTGCCGTCTGGCCGTACCGGGGATATATAAAAAAAGTCATTACAGTGCAAAATCATTTTTATTAATAAAAATCACAAGTTTATATCAAACGTGTGAAAATAAAACAGTTTTATGCAATTTTTGCCTTTTAGTGCGAATGTCACCCAAAAGCCTTTGAGTATAAGTTTTTAGATAAGAATGAATTCTTATTTTAAAAAAACTATTCGAAATATATTTTATTATTTCAGTTTCGTGTAAATCCATACAAGTATCAGTGATTGGATGTTTAGGCAAAAATAATTCCTGCAACAATGGATAAAATTTTTCCAAGACCGCTAAAACTAATTTCGATTGCAAATTATTCGTTTTACTGTGAAGCAATCCTTTGGATACCGAATGCTTAAACAAACTATCTGAGTAGCGGACTATCTCGAACGCTGCATCAGATGCGAAACATAATTTACCCCTATTTACAAAGGTAGTAAACGCAGAATATTTATTAATATTAACAAAATAATCATGATCATATTTTTTTTCATTTTGGGTAATTAATAATTGATGACAAAAGTTACAAGTATTTTTTTGTAAAATTTTATGAACTATGAATCCTGTTATATAGTACAGCACGTTTTCTTGGTAAGCACTTAATTGAGGACTTTCAAGATTTTTTATCATTTCACTAAATAAATCATCAACATCACCATCTTTATTTAAATTATTTTGTTCAATTATAGAATCAGTTTTTGATTTAAAATCAATAATATGATTAGTATGAAATGTATCGTCTATACAATTGGCATTTATGCTAGGCTGAATAGAATTTCTAAATAGAAGTTTTCTTAAAATATTTCTGAACTCTAACGGACTGGGGTTATCCTGAGTTCTTCCTCGGGCTCTGATTACAGAAAAAAAGATTTCCAAATTGTCTTGAGAGCATTTAAAAGTAAGGAAATATTTTAAAGGATTTTCAGGCAAAGACGTTAACTCTTCAAATAATGAAGACAGAGACGAAATATTCATTAAAAACCCAAGACAAAATGTTTTACGATTATGAAACCGTAAATAAGTGTTATCGATTTTTAATTCTTTTAAATAATCAACAGTTTCCCGGAAAAAAGTTTGCTAAATTTCTTTATTGCGAGAAGAGAGTGGTGATTTAAATTTTTTTCCGAACGGCGAACGACAATTCATATAATCAAATAATCTATCTATTATTCTTATAAAATGTGTGGTAGCTTCACTATTATCAAATATATGATTACCACTATTCCTTAGAAAATCAATTGCATCTGCCACCGATGAGCTTAGGGTCTGAGCAGCTAATCGAACATTCATTTTTTTATTTTGAAATTTTACATGCGTACCCGTAATTTTATTAGAAAGTTTGAGCCCCTCTTCTTCTTGTACTTTATAAAGTTCTTCTATGTACTTAAAAGATATTTCACCATCTGATGACTTTAACCCAAAATCAAACATTACATTTCTTGCTAATTTTAACATATGTACAGCATCTAATAGACAGTGCACTTTTGATATTCCGTTTGGATGTGGAAAATAAGGTCTAAAATCACTGTCTCCAAATGAGCAACCCAACGTCTCGTAAGCTTTAATATTAGACTTTGCGCCATCGCATGTTACTGATCGCACAGTAATACCTATTTCTTTTAACATAATTAATGCTGTATTTACTAATTGTGCTAGTAAATCCCCAGATAAACAGCCTGGGGTAAAAAAATATCCAATCGGACACTTAAAATAATTAGTATATGATACTATCATAAAAACTAATGCTTCGGACGCCAGCTGCTCCGGGTCACTAACAGGAATACTTCCTAAATCAACATAACCAAAAACCTTACCGAGCTTTGTTGAATAGGCAATGTCTTGTTTTAAGTTCATTGAGTCAAATATTAACGCAACGTTTTTTAAATGCTTTTTTTCCGGAAGTTGCAATTTCAAATACTCGAATACCTCATTCAAAAATCCAACTGAACAATTAAAAGAGGAAATAGAGCGCCATAATGTAGTTGAATGAGGTAGTGACATAATAGTTCTTAAATATGCATATGCCTTTGGCGAATAAAAATGCATTGTCAAAGCGAAAGATTTAACTTCATCACTATAACTCGATGTGACTTTTGTCTTCTTGTTAAAATGTTTACAAATATCAGCAAAATTGCCTTGTAAAATATTTTCAATTTCTGACTGTGATGTGTAATTACGAACAATGTTTACTAACGACTTCAAATCTTTTATTTTTTGTTCATTTCGCGCAACTTTTTGTTGTAAATTTTTTTTCTTTTTTTCCAAACACTTTTCCCGAAGTGACTTTATTTTACATTGAACATTAAAATCTTTTAAGCGGCGTCGTTTCACTGGCGGTTCATTTTCATTAACTACCTGTGGAACAAAGATTATAATCAGTAACAACTAAGATGGCCCAATTTCTTTTATACATTGCATCTAAAGGTTGTCTGGAAGAAATCACCTTGTGTGATAAGACCGCCCATTGTAACCACAACATTCGGTCATTGTATCCAATGTATTGCTACTTGGTGTATGTGTGCAATAAAGTATATATAAATAAATAAATGATTAAAAGGTCTCAATGTCTATGATGAGCTTACTACATCTTGAAAAAACAAAAACTAAAAAATCCTAACCTGGATGTTAAAGGTTTTGTAGGGATGTATTTTGACTTCTATGCCATAAATACAAGCTAATACTACACGATAAATTAAATACTTACAATATTTTCACTGTGTGTGTTGTGGGTTGGCATCGTTTCATTTGATGAAGCTGAGCACTTGAATGGTGCTGTACTTGCCTGTAATTTGAAATATTATTGTTAACATGATTGCTAGGTATGTAAGCAGCAAATTTTGAAAAGGTTAAAAACATAACACTAGACAATAAGTTAAATACTTACAATATTTTCATTTTGTATAATGTGTATGTCCTTTTCACAATAGCTGTGTTCTTTTCCTGACACTGTGGAACAAGTATCAGTTTCTGTCGGTATCATTGCATTAGATGAAACCAAGCATTTGAATGGCGTTTTACATGCCTGTAATTCGAAATATTATTCTCAACATGGTTGTCGGATGGGTAAGCAGCACATTGTGAAAATTTAAAAAATGCTTACCATAACATTATTACCACAGGAGCATAATTGTACAGAATAAACCGGAACAGCACTATTTAAAAGCCTTTTTGGTCTTAATGGATCATAATTCTCCGGCTTAAAGTGTAAGCCACAAATCTTTGCTGATTCATAAAACTTCCCTTTTAATGGTATAACAGACAACCATTTCTGCCTTTTTTCCGAGTCCTTGGGAAAACTGAAACATAAAATTAATTGTATATATACCCTTTAACCGAGTTGACTGATTTAATTTACTATAATTAGAGCAAAATAGCAGTAACCTCTCTAACCTTAGTTTCGGTACTCTTTTAATTGTTAAAATTTGAAGACCTTTCTGTTTTACCCCCAGGTATAATACGTTAGTCGCATTATGAGAGCAACGAGGCCTACATAAAATTCAACCATTCCATAAATCAAAAAGTATCTACCTAACTTAAAAAATATGGTCACTCTTTAGCTCTTTGTTTACAAACACATAATTTTGACGTCTAAGACTAAACGTACCTGTTTTTTAATAATTAAATGCTATTTACACATATAAATTTATAAACGATGACAAAGATTATTAGATAAATGTTTGTGACACCGTTTCGAACGTAAATATTTACAGATTTTTTAAATATTGGCATAAAATAGGTAAAGATAATGTATAACTTAAAATATGGTATTTCTGGACTTGCCTGTGAAAGATGACATTTGATGTCGGGTTCCATACACTTGGACAATCTTTGACTACACAATACATAATAAGGCACTTTAAATTAATTCACAAATCCTCGAAATACTTCAGTCAAACACTTCGAGTAGTCGAAAAATAATTGACAGAGTAGCCATTTTGGATAATACTACCCCAACAGTGTTACAAGTTTTGAACTCCACGTTAAAAGTTTAAAAGTGGGTAAACTTAAAAATAATTTTAATAAAAAAACAACTTTAAAATAGCCTGAATAAATTATGAATAACTTTTAAATTGTTTAATTTTTTAAGGCTGATATTTGGATTTCAAAATAAACATAAAATATGTGTGCCTTTCTTTTGGTCATATATTTATTATCAGTTACCAAGGTAAAAAGTCATTTTATTATGGCAACATTTTATTCAAGTGTGAGCGAGATAAAAAACATACGAAAGGTGAATAAACTCGGCTTCAATAATTTCTTGTAAGGGCAACATCCAGTGTTGTATATAATATTCTTGCCGTCAGGTAATGCGACTGCTAGTTTGCCGTCATATCACATAAAAAAACCTTTCCTTCTGCCCTAGGCCAAGGCCGTCGTACAAGCGCTAAGCGCCGAGCACTTCGGTCTGTTTCTGGTCGGGCTAGCTAGCTAGAGCACTGCTCACCATCTTTAAACAGCAATTTGTACCTATCCGGTGGCTGAATTTTAAAAAAAACAATAAATGTTTATTTTCAATTACTTTCAACATGGTTTCGTCTATTATTAACCGTTTGATGGTTCGAGCCAGTATAATCAATGTACTCTGTGGTTCGAGCTTACAATAGTGACAAAGTAAACGAGTAAACGTAGTGGTTACATACTCTTTGAATAGTGAGACTCAAAAACTCGAGACCCGGGTTACTTTTACTTAATTTTTTCGATATAGCAATATATTTCGCTACTTTGACGTTTTCGTTTCAGCACGTCATTGACGTCATGGATGACGTATTCGTACTTCAAAGAGACGTAGGTACTTTTTACTCACATCAGTCATAAAATTTCCAAGAATACAATAAAATCTGGTACGTTGTAGAACTGTCCTCTGAACCAGATCTTAACTATCAGTCGAAGTGTTAAGTGATCGTTACGGCAACTAAGTTAGCTTGTGAAAATTGCATTTACAATTTAGTGATTCGTATTAGTTGGTAAACCAAACAGGTGAGCGATGTGTTTAATTTTAATAACTGTACAATACACTATGTTCGATTAAATTGTTGATGTGACACTCAGGTGAATTACTGGATTAATCACTTAATGGTTTTATGTACTATACCTATAGAATAATCTACAGATAAAGAACTTTAGTTGTGTTGTGTTGATTAGCTTTTTAATGCACCCAGTAAAATTTGTGAAGTTCATTAATAACCGGTTTAAATAAAAAAAAAACAGATATTATTGTAAAAATAATAGTAAACTTGTACATGTATTGTTGATATCCAGTAAATCAAGAGATAACACATAGATAAGAGTTGTTTTGATGTAAATAAACATTAACATATCATTAATTTTGATTAAAGTAATTGGTGCAATAATCTTAGAAAAACATCAACTGTTTTTCGTTCTTTCTAAACAAAAATGTAACTATATTTTGATTTGTGCAATAATTTGTTTAAATGTTTTATTTCTTTTTATTACAGATTAAGAAAAGATGACATTCCAATCACCAATGCCAAGCCGAGAGTTCCTTTGGGATGTATTTAGAAGGTAAAAATATTGTTTCATACATGAACCATAATGTATTTGGCTATTTTGTGATTTATGACTCATTCTGTTTTTGTGTAAGTATTGCATCATGTTAAGACCACAACTGACCATAGAGGTTAATTGACCTTACATTAAAAATAACTTAGTTAGCAAAAATGTTTCCTGGTTTCATTACAATTGGTTTCCTGTTTTCTTCATAAAGTTAAAGTAAATCTATGAATAATGAAACATAATTATATTTTGAATTTTATTTACTGTTCTTTTAATAGTTATGATTCATGAATAACTATTTTGAATATGTAAGCAATTTCAACAATTACAAACCAAATGTCTATTTGCATTTGCTTAGTGGCAAACTTAATGGCTTTTTGGGTTTCAAAGACAAGTCCTGCTTGAGAGTAATATCCTCCTTACATCTATAAGATGATCTTCAAAGAATGTATAATCAATAAAAAATCAATAATTGTGTTACGTTTCACAGAGTGGACAAGGACCGCAGTGGCTACATATCTGCTGATGAGTTGCAACAAGCTCTCTCTAACGGAACATGGAACCCATTTAACCCTGAAACTGTCCGTCTTATGATTGGTAAGTTGCAGATATTTATGTTTTAAATATGCATATTTGAGGCTTGTCATGACTGGGACCACATAGCCTCGGACTGCGGTCCCAGTTCCTGGAACCATAAATATTTTTTTCTGTTGACTGGGACCACTGATAATGTAAAATAACTGAAATAAAAAATTATGAATAATTAACGAGGTGATCCGAAACAGAACTAAAGTTATCGACATAGCCAAAGGATTAGCAAACTGAAGTGGCAGTGGGCAGGTCACATCTGTCGAAGAACCAATGACCGCTAGGGTAAACGTATTCTAGAGTGGAGACCACGTCTAGGCAAACATAGTGTAGGGCGCCCCCCAGCTGACGACATCCGCAGGGTGGCTGGTAGTGGTTGGATGAGAAGAGCTGTACATCAAACTCAGTGGCTTGCAATTGGGGAGGCCTATATCCAGCAGTAGACAACTAAAGGCTGATGATGATGAATTTTTCGATGAAATATTTAAAGAAATTTTTATTTAAAGATATTGTTTATTGATTTTAAAATAAACAGTATTTGACTATGGTTTAGGCTGCTGACTTTGAAATAAACTCCCAACACTGTTGAGTTAGTAGAAAATTATAAATTATTTATTCCCTTTGTGGGTATAATAGTGCAAATCTGACAATTAATTAAAAAACGAGGTAAAATCCTGAAGACAACTATTTAATTTTGACGGATCTGGCTACTGGGGCCGCGGTCCGAGTTTTTGTCCTAGTAGCCGGGCAGCCTATTTTGGAATAGTCTAGAATAGTAGATAACATATTAAAAGTAATGCCTAAATATTTTTATTAGTTTTGCCCCTGAATAGATAGCATTTAAGTATAAGTAATAAGAATAAAAATAAGAGAATAAATAATGTTGTGTGTCAATATATTTTTAGCTGAGTCTTTTATATTTAGTTAGGAGGTTCTAGTTCTAGTTCTAGGTTCTCTTCCCTAACCTATAAGAGGCTTTCGTCGACTGGGACCATACTACTAGGACAGCGATCCCAGTAGTAAAAAATATAAATAGTGTAAAAAATACTTTGGTTTAACTTTGACTCTTAATATTGTGTTATAAAATTATATCTCACAAGAGTTGTTTTTTTTTACAATTTAACATTAATATAGAATACTGTTTTTATAATTTCCAGGTATGTTCGACAAACAGAATAGAGGTGTGATCAACTTTGAAGATTTTGGTGCACTGTGGAAGTATGTGACTGACTGGCAAAACTGCTTCCGATCCTTCGACAGGGATAATTCTGGCAACATTGATAAGATGGAGTTGAAGAATGCACTCACAGCATTTGGGTACAGATTATCAGATGAAGTTGTTAACATTATGGTACAGAAGTTCGATAGATTTGGCCGCGGCACCATCTTGTTTGATGATTTCATCCAGTGCTGTGTCACTTTGTATGTAAGTATACATTTTGTGGGACACCTTAGTTTTCATTATTAACTTAATGAAATGTCAATGTATATAAACTTTTCATATTATACTATTTATAAATGCTGATTTCTTTTCTATGGTCATTGATTTCAGACTCTAACGTCAGCATTCCGCCAATTCGACACAGACCAAGATGGAGTGATAACTATTCACTATGAACAATTCCTGAAGATGGTGTTCGGATTAAAGGTAAAAGTATAAATGTGTCTATTGCGAATCTCATATGTACGATTGAATCAGACACGACTTTTGCAACGAGCAAACCTCCCATGATACCATACTCTCGGATTAAAATGGCTTAAAGTCGCAAGTTGTATCCACATTGATAATTTTTAAGCACTCATAGCTTTAATCTGTGATGAGGAGACTTCTTAATTGAACGAAGAAAACATGCCGATTGCAGCCTGTTGCTGATTTATACTATTTAAAGACTTGAGGCTGATTTTTTTACAAAAATAGATTCAAACTTTTACAAAATTTTCTATGTATGTGTACCTAAATGTAGCACTAGCTTTATCATTACCTGCAGTCATAGTTGATGTACACAATATATTTTCTGTATCTATCTACTAGTAAGCATGTATATTGATGTGAATAAAGACAAAAGTAAAACTTTTCTTATTTAATGAATGTGATGTAATTAGCATTGGTGGTCCCTCTATTTTGAGCAAACATAATAAGGTAATTGTTGTTTATTAGTATAACAGCAGGATCGATTTTTGAATTTTTAATACTTGGCTAGACATATTAAAAATATGGCCAGAATTTTAGTAGTCGATAGGCTAGCGATTAATATAAATTCAGCTTGGTTCAAAACAGAGTTATCATCAATGCAATGTTATTTCTCTTCTTGTAAATCTTTATACATGGTGTTATTTTGAACGAGGGTCTTATTCAAGGACCCTATTTAGGTGCTTACAACTGTTCCAATATCGATCTCAAAATAGATTTATTTCCCAAAAAATTGCAACAGCCGATTGATCATTTTGCATGGAAAAGTAACCATCCTTTTCTGAGATTTTTATATTGGTTATGGAAAAAAATTTTTTTATTTGAGCGCCAGAATTGGGTCCTTAAATATGTCCCTTATTCAAAATAATTCCCTGTATAACCCGTGCCGATAAAAAATGGGATTAGAAATGGCGGCGCATCTATTTAATTCTCGCTCTCACATTATTTCCGTCTATATGCAAACTCATAGGGAGCGTCTGACAAAAAAAAAGCATATCAGACAGAAAGACAGTTACGTACACATTTATAATATTAGTATCGATATTTGAGATTTTAAAGTTATGAAGCGAAAATAGTTTATATCCAATCTTACCCTCTCCGCGATTCAGGTAATGGTTTTTGACATTTTTTGTTGACATTTTGTGTACCTAGGTACATAGTAAGTAGTCTCAAAACGATGACAAGTTTAACTAACATAAGCTTTATTTTAGTTCATGATATAACGAAACACTTTCAACGGTAACGATATTTTTAACGTTATACAGTTAGTAGTCAAATTTATTGTTATTGCATTTTTATGCTGACGCTCCCAGCTCAATGAGCCGCCATTTCTAATCCCATTCTTTATTGGCACGGGTAGTATATTGTATAACTGTATAGGTCTGTATAGATTGTGTTAAATAATTGTTATTCTAAAACATGTCTAAGTACAGAAACTGAGGTCTTCCTTGTCTCGTGTCTAAAATCTAGCTCAAAAATACTGGATAATATGTATGTGTCTTAAAATCAATTTTGTTGTATGCTACAAAAATCTTCGGTTGACAACCTATTACAAAAAAATTGTTGCTTTTTAAATATATAACAAACACATTTCCTCAATTACCAAAATATACTGTGCCAGCAAACTAAAGAGCTTATGTTAAATTGTTTGAGTTTTTCAGTATTTATAACCAAATTTGTATTTCGCGGTGCCGTTCAAATTTTTTAAGCATTAGGTTAAGTAATTTAGTAATATTTTAATTGTAAATTATAAAATGTCTCGATGCACTAATAGGCGTATTTCTCTTTGGTTTAGTGTTTGCCGTAAACATCGCAGTTGACAAGGTCCCGGAAAACTGTTTCGTACAGCCAACTCATACCCACCAAAATAAATAAAACCATCAAAGGTAATCATCTAATAACAAAATAACGAAATTGTCTCAAACTTTTAATATTTTTTTTAGAAAATGCATTATTTCTTGTAGCTAGTAGCTAAAAATAGTTGCTTATAACTTCGCTATGCAAACTTTTTTGACCAATTTTACAATGCTCAATGATAGAAAAACAAACTATTTCGAATATTTCGATGTTAATTCATCTGATTTTAGAATTTTACACTGAATGTAACGAAGTGATCTAATAAAGAGATCTTATACTTAATATTTGGTTTATATTACTTAAATTGGAAACTAAAGCTCAAATTCTACCTGTGCCTATAACTTCTATTTCATGTAACCTTCATAATAATATACACTACTGAATGGTCACTATTTTATAAGATAAAAGTGTATATGCATGTTGGTGTACTTATAAAATGTATGTAATATTGTATTTAATCAATTCTCTATGTTTAATGTAAATAAAAAAAATATGCAGTGTTATTTTAAATTAGTTAAAAGTCTGGAGACTTGTGTGAAAATCTATTTGATGTCTATTTACTAGATATTAATGTTATAGGTAAATGTTCAAGTCTAAGTAGGACCTGTTGTGACAGCATTTAAATTTTATTCAATGTAGATGTCATAATAACAGTGAAGTTTCACCAACTAATTAAAAATAACCCTGTTATCTTACCTATAAAGTAATTATAAATCTTTAATAAGTACATAAGATTATTTTCATTCTAATATTCCTGCATTTTCTGCAAGATAAATGTTGATCAGTGTAACTGTAAGATTTTAGGGAAAACATTGCATTTCCTATTTATAGTTTAAAACTATAGCTGCATTATACATAATTTTTAATGTGTACTGTTATTATTTTGTTATGTTTATGTCTGTCCAGCTTATTATGTATGATTATGTGCAATGTGCATTATTGTGTATATTTTCTGTTCTGATAAAGACAAATAAAAGTTTTTGATTAAGCAATTATTAATTTTATTGATCATCAATTTTGTTATCTTTTAAGTGTTTGTGGACACTGCTATTATACTTAAAGTATCAATATTTTAAGAGACAAGTTATAATATCTTGATTATGCTAATTTAAATTATATCTAGGAAAAAAGTATCAAAATATAGGTTTATTCTTTCTTCAGACTTTTTATTTTCCATGCTCCAATGGTGTATTTGAGCCAGATGAGACCTAGGTCACAGCCCATTTGGATCCAGGAGAAAACTGGAGTCACTTTGGATCCTTCTATTTCAGTCCATCTGACTGGAATCTCAGCAATTGGAATGTTTAGCCTTTGTGCTATGTACAGTATTTCTACGTCGAATGCCCTGCAACAAGATTAGGGTTAAGTAGTTTACAACATACTGGAATATAAATGGTAAATGTGACTGCATTAACCATTCATTTTCCAGTATGTTAAGAAAAAAAAATCCTAGTGTGGGGTAATAGAAAGAAGAAATTATTATTAAAAATAATTTGTTACATTTATTACAAGACACATATCTCATTCTGTGCCAGAATTAAAATCAACAAGCTCGTTCAATAACTTTGAAATACCAAATGCGTCGCATAATTATGCGGAAAACTTGGGGGTAACTATGTTCAATACTTGCGGATATGTTACGACAATAGCTATCATTATCAGAGTAAAAATATATTAGGTAAATGAATAACTATAATAATATTATATTTGCAGTAACAGGAAAATATGATAAAAGCCAGTTTTGGCATGGTTGTGTTCAGACGCGCGATTTACACCAGATGCTATCTAATTGTAGTAGTTCTTTGGCACTCCGAGCGCTGTCCGAATTTATTCTAACATTGACCGTATGTTATGATGTTTAAGGTTTATATTAAATTGTCCCAAATAAGCTTTTCAGCGTTGTGCCTTATCATATCACCGATTGAATTGCCCACTGTGTGTTACTTTACAGGGTAAATTTTATAAGAGATGTGATGTTACAGATTGATACTTCGAAATTCTAGTAAAATATCTTCTTCCTATTAATGACAATGACATGTTAACGGTCGAATAATAAGTCATTACGATTTACCTAATGACTGACGTTAATTTGCTTTGTATATAAGTCAAACACAAGTGTTAAGCGTATTTGCGCCTTACGAATTCGCAGTCTTAAAAAGTATTGAAATACTTACCATCTGTTTACATGTAAACTTTTAAAACAAATGTTTGCTGCTTTCCTAGTGAACAGCTTGAACCCGCACTGCGTGTCTTTCACACCTTTGACAGTGAACAGCCATACTAGGAAGTGGAACCCATACATCAGAATATTCCTGAAAGTAAAAATTTAGAATCTCTTGATTACACTGCTCATACTGAGTATAGCTTTAAAGATTTAAACTGCTTAGGCATGCTGATGATCTCACAGAGAACCAGGAATCCATGAACTTGGTCCAAAGGACTTGACAAATAGGTAGTCATGTTTGTCGTGTATACCTATGCATTCGCATATTTCGCCAAGGTAAAACTTAGGTTGAAACTCAGCTAGGTCGGATTTTTTTCTGGGATTCAGTGTTTGAATTCCCGGTAGAATTTCCAACAATCGATGTTTATTTGAATAGAATTGTACCATCATTGATCACTGAAAATCTGATTCCTTCTTTATTTTGAGATCAAGATAGACAGATAAGATTCGGTTTTCTTTCTTTCCGGATTGGAGTTACCGTAATATGTATTGTACATCCTGTATTTAGACGCAGTGATGTCATTCTTATTTGTTAATTATTATCGATTGATAGCGCACTAACATCCTGATTACAATCAATCAATTAAAATAGATTTTGCTTAGTTTTACGATTAATTATTTTTTGTAATTCTGTATAATTATATTAGGTATTTTTTTAGAATAAACCTTTGAAATGTTACATCGCGTATTTTATTCCACTGAAGGTGTAAGGTATATAATAATTTTGTTAGGTACCTACTTTTATTATTTTTTGCAACTTTTACGTTTAGGGTAACTCATACTCATTTCTTATTATGAATTACTATAAATATAAGTGTGGGAAAGCCAGGTTTCGGCACGAATGGGTCAGCTCCACCACAGTTTCTACAAGTAGTGTTTCAAGTTGGGGAGAATGTAATTTGTTACCTAAATACACTGCGTGTAGCCAAAGACTCCTTTTCAAGATGTGCTCTAGAGCCAATCACAATGGCTATACTGTTGCTGACATCATTCGGTTGAAGTATTGGGTCGTAACTTAGCTCCTTGAGTGCTGTTTCTAGTTTTGTTAAGTCCTCAAACTTAGATGCTCCATCTGCATCAGCAAACAATATGCTGGCTCCTCTGCAGCTTTCTATACCCTGAAATAGAATGTTTCATGATTGATAATTTATATGTATACTGTAATGAATGGGTATTTTCTAATTTAATTGAAATAACTTCAGGTATAAAAATGTTATGTGATAAACCTTTTCTAAGAAATCATTTTTATTTTAGTTTTTTAATTTATTCACTTTTCAATCGTAGCACTTTGAGACATAATCTTAATACAATAGGTGTGTGAATGGTGGCATTAATTTGGGGTTTTAATTAATTACATAACAGTATCTTACCAGACGGACAGCTCCTCCCTTTCCTCTGTTTTTTATAAGTTCCAAACACCTAATTTTCTCACAGCCATATTTTTCAGAGTAACTTTCAGCCACTTGGACAGTTTTATCTTTGCTTCCATCGCTGACAACTATTATTTCATATTTGTATGAATGGTGTTCTTTCACTCTGCCCTCCAAAAACTCTATAGCCTCATCAAGCATGGGTGGTACTGGAAATAGATTATTAAATAGTTTTTTGATTATTTTATAATCTGTTATATTGAACATGTGCTCACTTGCACTGTCACTGCTATTTGTCTTGCTGTAGTTGCCCTTTAATTGAAATTGTGTGAATGAATGATTGTGACAATATGAATTGAGATTTTTTAAATTAACTTACATCTCTCCTCCTCATTGTAGGCTGGCACTACAACACTGAGGTGGACACTGTGTGGGTCTTCAATGTTGGGAAATGCCACTCTTTTTTTACTTCTAGGGTCATTATATGTTTTCTCTTCTTCGAAACGTTCCATTTCAGGGTACGGGCTAGTTACCAGGTAAATAAAGATGCATATCTACAATGTAATGAAACTTTTAGATCTCATTCGATTCATAAAACTATTAAAACGTTATGTGAAACTTTTAGAGTAGCCATAAATTTGATAAAAGTTTAAACGATTCATCAAACAGGAAACAACAATTGATTCTTTAATTAATTTAGGTATGTATTATTTTAATTTTTGCCAACGAGACACTCGTTTCAAACAATTGTTGAGTTTTTGTTGTTAAGTACTTACCGTCATAAGCAAGGCTATAGCCGCTGCTAAACCGTAAGTAAAAATAAGCCATATAAATACAATAAGATCCATCGTATTACTTATAATTACTTCTTGCTGTTTAAATTATCCTATATCTATTGTACAAAAATTTACGCTAAGAGATTATTCATATCAAAAACACCGACTGTATAGTGTAATGTCAAACTTGCAACGTGACAGTGACAAAATAAATGATAAGAGCCGTCAGGCGGCACGTCACGAGCTTATGACATTAACACAACAAACGTTTTATTATCAACAAAGTTAAAATGCTTGATTTTACAAATATACAAAAGTAATGCAACTGAATAGTTGAAAAGTCCAATGAAAATAATAACCGTAGTCTTTTATTTCCAAGCAGGATCTAGTACCGGGTGTCGTTAAATAGACTTTCCTGCCATTTTCCCGTTCTTCCAGAGCCCGGAGGTTGGTGGGCTAAAAGAACATATCCTGTAATTTTTGTATCTGCTTCCCTGGTCTGCAAGAAGGATAGTAAGTACCTATTGTATACACTTAGCTTGGGAAAACTAGCGCGAAATGGCATAACATATTTTAGTGTAGGAGATAAGTAGGACTTTTTTGGTACTATCAACGGAATTATAGTATGCACGTAAACTTACTTATACGTGGAATTTATCAGGCGCCGAAGGTAGATTATGGCACAGAATGGAAGGCTGGCTGCAATCCTTAGGGATTAAATTTGAAAAATCGGCTAACTTTAAATTTTTTAAAAGATAATAGTAAATTGACAGAACCACAATCAATATGACAAGTGAGCACAGATTGTATGCTTTTAGATTTTTTGTTGTTCTGAGCCGAGGTTCAGGGCCTCAATGGTCAAATTTTAGAGCATGTTTGCTTAATGGTACTTATTCTTCTAACCCAGACAGGAAAAGAACTTATTACTTAATGGGGTTAAACATTTTAGAAATTCTTAGCTTTAGGTTTGTCTTTGGTATCAGTGCGGTAGTTTGGCATTGGGCGGTACTAACAAGGGTCTATTAAGACTAGGGACTTCATATTATAACTGAGAAACTGAGAGCCAAGTGGCACTCACTCATGCCTGTCTCGTCACACGGCGTCTACTCGTTGTCGACAGGTGGTCCACTGGTGGACGTCGCGAAATCAGCAGTAGGTAAATGTTCTGCGGCAACTAATGGACCCCACGTTGTCATCGAGTGAACCCCGAGTAGTAGTCATTGAGTGGATGCCGCTCGGCACAAATTTCTGAGTAATCTGTTCAATTCAATCGGGCGGGAGGGAGTTTCAGACTCTTACTGACTAAACCCCCTTCCCCCGTTCCTTCTCCTGCTCCGGGACGAGGCCGCGGTGCCTCATTGCGCTTGCCCCGCAACCCCGGCTGAACATCAGCCCTAAAGGGCCCCGTCTGTGGTGGTCTACGTTCGTGGTCGGTGGTCACCGCTCTGTACTCCTCGTACAGCTCCGCCTCTCTGGTTTCAACGTCCAGAGAGTGGATACGGAACCTGCGGTGCCTGATAAATCGGCTTCGTGCCGCAGCGCACTCACCGCGCAGAGCAGCTAGTTCCCGCGACCACCAGTACACCTGGCGCTTGCGTTGGCCCGGTCGGACCTGACCCTCAATGCCCAACGCGTGCCACACGGGGCCTGTCTGACCGCCGGGTCTGCGGACTCGACGGAAACTTCGAACCGGAATACCGGATATACCATTGATCGGAAAACATCTCCACTTCTTCCATACACGCCAGTCGACAATGCGCGATGATAGAGCGAGGCTAGCAAACGAAAGACTAATGCGCTGTGACCTGAAAATTGCCCCTCTTCCTACCTATCCTAATCTGAGGTTATTTACGAATGAGTTAAACGTTTATTTGATTTGAGTGAATGCCATAGATACGGAGTGCATCCGATTAAACTGTACCCAAGTACAATTATTATATTTATCGTGTCATATATACTTTCTCAGACATATTTTAGTAAAATATCTGCATAACAGCGAGAACATTTTAAAAGTTTACGTCCTAAGTGATCTTTTTAAAACCGTTTAGTGATTCGTATTCCTCAGGAATAGCACAGAGCCATTATTAGGCAATTTCTTTGGAGGTACTTATTTCTTTATACATTACATGACTAGCTATTCTCGCGCGGCTTCACCCGCTGCTCGGTTTCATTTTATGGTAGCGTAATGTTTTATAGCCTATAGCACTCAGAAACATTGTAACTACCTATCATTGAAAGAATTTGGACAATCCGATCAGTGGTTTCAAAGATTACCCCCTACATACAAACTTACAAACATACAAACTTACAAATTTTACCTCTTTATAATATTAGTATAGACTAGCGACACTCGCGCTGTTTCTCCCGCTCGGCTCCATTTGATCGTAGCGTGATGTTTTATAGTCTATGGCACTCAGGAACTTTGTAGATGTCTACCAGTTAAAGAATTTTGACAATCCGACCAGTGGAACCAAATATTACCCCCTACGTACAAACTTACAAAGTTTACCTCTTTATAATATTAGTATAGACAAGATCGCTGCTACGATGCTGCTATCCTATAAAAACCATTGCAATTTCTGTAAGCCAGGATCTGCAGTACCTACCTGCCACGGAAACATCGAAACATTGAAGTCCAGTGCGACCCATGGACATGAATAAGTTAGTGTCTTATTTCATTTCTTTTAATGTTAAAATGATTCCTTAATCACATGCCTGCTGTAAATGTAGACTAGGAACTAGGAATCTACCGTAGGAAAGCAAGAAATAAATAAATAATAGTCGCTAAAAGATTAAGTAGATTTTATTTGGATAAAGTAATCAATAAAACAAAGTTCTTCAGTTTGTTTCTTTAATAAAATAAAGTCAATTTTATAAATAAATTAATTTAATAAAACAAAAATTAGGTAGGTATGCAAGTATAACTGTTATGAAACAAAACATAAAACAATTAAACAGCAGCTACAATACATGATATAGAGCTACATTGATTGTATTGTTATTTTTCAATTTTTTTTATTTCGTCTACAAGGTCATTTTGTTGTAAAGTAATCTTATTTGCCACATTCTCTATAACAATATTTATATATGCCTGCCGCTTACAAACTAATAAACTACATTATTATGTATGTAGGTAGGTATACTTATAAGTTTCATTCAAATATACCTAACGTTATTTCCGTCACAATACCGATCATTGTTAAACCGAGGTTTAAAAACCGAACATATTATACAAAACAAGTTTTAGATAATACCTATGAACTCAGCTACCCAACCAGTCCCGCCATTGTTCATGGTGGTGACAAATACTATCTTTACATAATTATTGTTGCTGGTGTAGTCTGCTGGCATTTCCTCGCAGAATGTCCGTACTACCTCTCCATTGCTATCAACAAGCTGGACGTAATTCTGGTCGCATGTAATTCCTAAATCGAATACAGGGAATCGTAACAATAAATGAGTACCTACAGGAGTCTCAAGCTCCCATTCGCAGGTCGACACACGCCTGTAAACGTTGGGGTATAAAGGACTGGTAACTTTACCTTCTACAGTATGTAGTTTTCCACCACAGCCGCGTCCTTTATTAGTTGTAACATAAACCAAATCGAATGTAACACGATCGCCGTTATTTTCATGATTATGCAATAGCAGATATCTACCGGTTGAGAAAATAGGCTTATTGCCCTCATAGCTCGTAGCAATTCGTACTAGTTTAGGTGCATTTGAATCCTTTCCATCAAATACATCAACGTAGCTGTTTTCGTTCCAGTAATCTGGTGCAGCGTTAAATATATATGCGGATATTGTATAGTTATCCGGGGCAGTTATTAAAGTGTAACAGTCGCTTAGTGTAGTATCGGAGTAGCCAGCATACGCAGCCTGTACGCGGCCGTACGGTTCGGTATAGTTTCTCCCACAGAATCCTGCAAATACCACTTCCATTTCCACTCCTTTGTGAACGTTTGAATCACTTTCCGATGACGTGATTATATTGAGTTTCGTAGCTCCATTGAGATATAAATCCGAAGGTTCTTTACGCCCGCAAAACTCGTATATTTGAGGAATATAAAGAGCGCTGTCGAAGAAAGAATTACGACTGATGATATCTGATCCTTGATAGTTTATGATGAAATCTTTTCCGATGGTTACATTGGGATTGTTGGGACTGGTAGAGATAAACAACTTGTCTCTATTGCAGCGCGTTACGTTCGCACTGTCAGTGACGGCGGGCTGTAGGTCTAAATCTTTAATAGTTAAAATAATATAGCTATATGGGGACTCACTGTTGTCTAGGTGATAGAGACAGTGAAGACCTCGAGGGATAGATCCCGCATCATATCCTGGGGACTTCAGACGTTTTGGTGTGTGACTGACTGTAATGACGGATGGTCCGCACACTGATGGCTGTACCGTCAACGTGGCTACGAAGCCTTGGCTTCCAATCTCACTATCTGTGGACAGCGTCACGCCCATTATATTGCTAGAAGAACTTAGTTGTGGAGGGAGGGTGTGCCCGCAATAAGTTCCTATTACCAAACTGTTAGGGTTGATACCGTCTCTTATTTCAACAAAGTCACAATCACACTTACTGTAGCCGATAGCAGTTTGATTGACATTTTGGCAAGGAGACACGTGGAATGAAGTAAAATCAATTTTAATTACTGTGTCAGGCGGTGATGTTATAGTCCAGAAACAGTCTAAATAGTTCTCATAAACGGGGTGGCCCATTAAAGGAGATTTGAAAACGTGTGATGATCCGGTTGTTAAATTTATTTGTCCGCCGCATTGCGCTGCTTCGGAATAACTAAAGTAAACTTGGGCTTTGAAACCTCGGTAACTCACGCTCATGTCCGAGACGAACTGTAACAACATCTTATTTCCTCTACTCCTGAGCGTCGTCGTTGTGTTAATATGTCCACATAACATTGCTAAACGATTGTCAGTATCAATTTTAGACCCCTCAAATACGGCGACATAATCGCTGTAGCAATCAGTATTGCTTTCTACGTCTATGTAAGGGAATTTCAACACCACTATCTTTGTTGGTGGTGCTTCAATGAACCACGTGCAGTTCATATTTTGGTCATACGTGTCAGAAAGCGATGACGACAATATAGTACTCTCATTAACTTTACCTCCACATTCGAATATAAAGTAGGATATTCTAAATCCTTTTCGCTGTATGTAGCGATCACTATTAAATTCCAATGTTACTTTTTCAGAGAGGGTGAAGACAGGGGGTATTTTGCTGCCGCAATAAATTTCGTATGTATAGCTGTAATCTGATTGTGACGACACCGTAACATTATCAGATCTACAGTCAGGGAAAGTGCCTTCCAATTCAAACTCGAGGAACTTAATTACTACTCGGCCACCTGGTGCTGTTATTTCATATTTGCAGCTCATACTCGGATGGTAACCATAAGGAAAACCTGGACTGTACAAAATCTGTTCTTTTTTAGTTGCTACATAATTTCCACCACATATAGAATCCCAAGTAGCTTTGAATCCATCCAGATTGGTGTCCGCATCCGTTCTTAGGACCACTTTCATGCGGTTGTACGTTGAGTTGTATGGTGGCGGTGTCTGCCGACCACACACCCGAGCTATCTGCTGGTACTCATTTTCTTTCCAGTCATAAATTATGACAGCATCTTTAGTGCAATTAACACGATCTTCAATCACAAATCTTTCAACAAATCTAAGAGAAATTCTAAAACCTAGATCAACTTGTATCTCCCAAGGACATTCTTGATTAGGTGAATAATTTTTAGGGTAATTTGGAGATACAAATGAGTTCTGATAAGAACTTAGAAAACCTCCGCATTGGTTGGTCACAGATCGGACCATGAGCCTTAAACTTGTACTGACGTTTGCTTTCTTCTGATATTGTATGTACACGTTACTGAAATGAGTGATTAATGGAGTTTCTAATACTTTTGATTTGCAATAATCTCCAATTATAGGTGCATTTTGGCTCAAGCTTGGTCTAATTTTCACAGATTCATCGTCACAATCTAATTTAAATGACCCTTCTGTTTTAATTTCCACCCTATTGGTAGACCCTTCAATGATCCAAGCGCAATTAATGGGGTCATTATAAGAATCAGGTATTTGTAAAATGTTAACAGGGTCTTCTCCCACTTTAATAGTACCACCACATGGTTGACCTTTCCAATCCAAATGGAAGCTGAATGAACTAGATTTACTTTTAATTGCAGTGATGTCCATTACCGGTGACGGTATAATGAATGAGGTTTGCGTGTTTCCACATATATTTCGGATAAATCTATTTCTAATCCCTGTTTTGATTATGATTTGGGGATCGAAGAAACGACATCGACCGCCTGTTCTAGTAACCGATGAGCTGAGATTAGCAGTAAAAAATATCGAGTTGTAAGAAGTATTTGTTGTAACTGTGTCGTCTGTATTTACTTGCCCATTATAATGCCACTCACACGAATAAGATTGATTTAGTTCTGGCGAGTCAAGAATTTGGTTCATTCCAGAAAGGTCTCCACCACATAATCCTTTTTCATCGGAAGTGAATCTGGCTTTAAACCTATGTGTGACAGCTGTTCGATTAAGCCATACATAAAGAGCCATTTTATTTCCAGATGATTCAAAAACAGTTGTGCCAGGAACATAGTCGTCGCTAGGGATAGTTTGGATAAGAGTATGGAAGGCAATGTCATTGAAAATGCCTATTCTGTGTTTTTCCATGTCTGTATCCAGTAACTCTAAGCGAACTTTCCTAGACTTATCTGGAACTTTTATTAACCATTGACAGTACCGTATTGTGGTTTCCTGAGGATAGCTAGGTGACGTCAAGTAACCTTCAGATGCTGTTACAGGCCCACCACACATTGGCACAGAAGAGTTAAAACTAATCCGAAAACCTCTGTTATTTGAAGTTTGTTCCCACGTATCGGGTTTGCCTATATGAAGTTTAATGGTGAATTCATTTCTTGATGTTTGTATCAGCGATTCATCGTAAATCGTCCCATCATCGTTGCATATCGTTTTTATTACAGTAATAGTATTATTGGCCGGCACAGATTCTTCAATTGTAACTTTGGTTCCACAATTTAATTCTGTATCAGGCAACTGAATATCTTCTGCTTTTATTTGAAACACATGCCTTGGACGTCCTATAACTCGCCACTCACAAACCGTTCCGTAAGGGAACACTTGCAAGTGTGGATATCCAGGAGATTTTATCTCACCAGCATCACTTACTATAGTTCCACCACAGGTGTCAATAGATACGTTGGCTTTAAACCCATTCTGCGGTTCAGCCAATGAAGTGGAGTATTTTATGTAAATTGTATTACCAGTACTTTTGATTGTACCTGGTTTATCACTGCAATATTTGCCATTTAGTGGTGAATATTTTGAAGATCCCAACCTTACTTCAACAGCTTCTTTTTCACAATCTTCGTCATCGGCTAAATCAAACCGATCAATAAAATCAATCCTAAGAATTTCTCCAGGTGGGGCGGTGAAAACCCACTCACATTCCGAATAGGGAACTGGTACTTGTGGGTAATTTGGTGAATTTATTACTTCCCATCCGTGATCAGTAGTTAATGTTGTTGTGGAGCCACATTCAAAGTTTTGCTCTTCATAATAAATTGTGAAACTTTGGAACGCGAAAGAGCCCTTTGTGTAACTGATGAATAAAGTATTACTAGTAGTGACTATATCCGCTCGATTCTCATGTTCATACCCACAATATTTGCCACTAGCCAAAAGGGGCGCTTCTTCAGAATCACCATTGCGTAATATGACATAAGTATTACAATCGTCATTTTTATTTGTAATATTAAATTGACTAAACTGTAATTTAATAGTTCTGCCAGGTCGCACTTTAACCTTCCAGACACACTTAGATGGAACCATGTACCGATATCGAGTTTGTACATCCAGCCACGTCGGTTTGATATGTCCAGACAAAGCAGTCATGAGTCCGCCACATTGAGAGTTGACTCGAGCCAAGAATCCTTTTCTAGTGATGGAAGAATCAGTTTTGAATTTAATTTTCATGTAGGTGCTTGTATTGAATCCAGCCCGTACTGTTTCTGAGTTGCATATATCATCATGGACAGACTGCCAATTACCAGGGGTATCAGATGAATAAACTGAAACTGCATCTGCGAAACAAGCGTGGGTATCTTCGATATCAAAATCGACAAATTGAATTTCCAAGTGTCTTCCCATTTCTGATTTGAAAACCCACTCACAGTTCAGATTGTTTGAATAGTCAAGTGGATAATTTGGTGATGATATACTTTCAGTTTGCCCTGGAACAACAAGTTTGGTAACATTGGAGCCGCAGTTTATTGAATCTCCCGCTTCCACGTCGTAGTTTCCGAAAGATTTAGTCCAGCTCAAATGAAATTTGGAACCCGTATTTGATTCATCGGTAGTCAGTGTTATGAACACTACACTGGAGGAACTTTGAATGACTTTTCGTTCAGCAAGGACCCCGTTCAGTTCTTGCAATATTGGCGCAGTTAAATCATATCCATCATAAATTGTTAACTTGTTGTAGTTTACTTGGCTGTGTGTATAAATTTCCAGATCGTCAATGGTTATCGATATTGTAGCTGAATCTGAGGTGAGAACGCGCCAAGAGTATTCACCTGTACCTAAGTATGGAGAAGGATATAAGGGAGAAGCTATTGCACCATTATCTCCCGTTATGTCATTTTCACGTTGAAATCCATAATGCAGAACAAAACCTCGCCCACTAGTTTTAGAGTTACTATGGAATTTAATGTATATTTGTGAAGCCGAACTGTGGTTTGTGGGCGTGTCACTGCTACAGTATACACCAAGCAGACGGCCTGCTCCATTGGTTTCACGTAGTTCAACATAATCGTCGTTGCAACCCTCCGAATAGTCTAAATCGAATTGCTCAAACTGGACGTATGCAGTATTCCCTGGAGACGCTTGTAATATCCATTCACAATCGGAGTTTATAGGATATGGCCCGGGATAGTTGGGAGATGCAATAGTACCTTCTTCAGATTTTAATGTACCTCCACACGCGTTACTAAGAGCTGAATAGTGGGCTGAGAACATGCCAGTAGGAGCTCCTGTATAGCTTCCATATTCCACTGTGACGGCACTGCCGCGGCTGACAATCATAGGTGGAACTTTTCGGCCACAGTATTCACCGATAAGCGGAGCATATTTGTCATCTCCGTCGAGAACACGGAGGTAGGAGGAAGGGCACGTTCTATTTGTTATTACATTATTGTCTTTTGGTATTGACAATAATGTTATCGTCAACGATATCTTTTGGTCCGGTGAATCGGCCAGAATAGTCCAAATACAACTTTTATTTGTGTGACGAATGAAGTTGTCGCTTTGTATGATTCCATCATCTTTTGTTTTAATTAGTGCCCCGCAAGTCATGGTAAAGTTAGCTTTAAACCCTTTAGCCGTTCCATAACCATTGGTTTTAAATTGAACAAACAGGTTACTATATGTGCTAATTATTTGTGTTAAATTAGATTTTGGACATATCCGATATGTATAATTGAGGGACGGTGAATAATTATCATAATCATAAATTTGTATCGAGTCTCCGCACTGCACCTCATTGTTACCGAATTCCCTCAACGAATAAAGATCGAGGTCTACAATGTTAAATTCAATTCGATGACCTTGGGGAACAGATATAAACCAAAGGCAATCCAAATTGTTATCATAGTTCTTTGGGTAGTTTTTAGAGGCTATGCCCCCGGATTTAGTATTTTGAATACCTCCACATTTTGAATTCGAAGTTCTAAATTGTGAAGAGAAATGTACATCTCTGAGCGTAGAACGTTTCGAGAGACGAACTAACATTAAATTACTATCGGAGGATACTGAGACCATGTCACGGTGACAGATTTTTGTGAGAAGTGGAGTATTTGTGTTTTGTCCATTATAAACTTCAATCGCATCCACAGTACAGTTAGCGGTGTCACTCATATAAATCTCAGAAAATGTGATTGTGATACTCTTACCCATTTGGGCTTCTATAAGCCATTCGCACTCAAGTTCCTTGTCGTTAGTTACACTTTTATCAAGTTCAATAGTACCCATGTCCTTTTTAATGTACCCTCCACACCCAGAACTGATCCATTCCAAGCGGAACGCAGTCCGGATCGTGTTAATTCCTGTCACAAGTTTAATTTGTAAGGAGTTACCTTTTGTCGTTATGACACCAGGAGAAGTCCTGCCACAGAATTTATTTGAATAATTTGGATCAGCTATATCTTTTATTTGCAAATAGTCCGTGCTACATTCATCTTGATTGCGAGCTCTCATCCATGGACGGTAGAATCTAAACCATTTTTGGATATCAAAGTGTGTAAATGTCACGTTAATAGTATTGCCTTTTGGAACATTGATTGTCCATAAGCAATTCGTGTTCAACGGACAATTACCAGGAAAGCCTGGACTTTCAATAACTCCGTATCGACCGGTTACGTTATTGTTACAAACAGTATTGTAATTAAACAGAAAACCTTTACCGCCTTGGAATATATCAGATCTGAACTTTATGTATGCATAGTTCGAAGATGTTTGGATATTACTCAACTCCGGGGTCATGAAGCAATGTTTTCCCAAAATGTTGGCACTCGTATCACGGCCGTCGAATATTTCGATGTAATCATCTCTGCAACCTGGCGTTCTTTCCAGATCCAGTTCAGTGAATGCAATATGGATTCGTGACCCTTCGCTCGTAACTATCCTGTAAAAACATTCGGCGTTTTCGGTGTATTCGTTTGGATAATTCGGTGACGTCACGGTGCCCGAAGGACTTGTTAAGGTTCCTCCGCATCCTGTCACCGTACCGTCCCACTCGATTTTGAAACCACTACCTGTCAAATAATAGTCCGAATGAAAATGTAAATGTAAAGCGTTAGATAATGAAACAATTCGTCTTGATTGAATTACTCCACAATATTGTCCTATTAATGGCGAGTTCTCGTTACCACCATTTCTTATTTCTAAGTAATCCCCAAGATTACATCTGTCTCTTATAGGACGTTCTAGATTAAATTGTGAAATGTTGAGCACAATTTGTTGTCCAGCAGGTACCGTGATAGTCCATGTGCAATCGCGATTGGGTTCATATTGTTTGGGCCAGCCGGGTGAATATATGAAGCCGTGAGATTTAATATACGCTCCGCCACAGTGAGATTTTTCATCTAAAAATGTGTAAGACACTGAAAATCCAGCGTAGCGGATACTGCCATCAGATACAAATTTTAACTCCAATCGGTTAGTCGATGTTGTCAAAGCAGGTGGTGACTTGGAGCCACAGAATTTTCCCAATAAATTTCTCTCATTATTGTCATCTATCTCCAAAAGTTCTAGGTAGTCGCTGGCACAGCTAGGCATATCTTCCAAATCAAATCTGTTCCATGATAGTTTTATGTGCATCCCTTCTGGAGCTAAAAGCAACCACTGGCACGTTTGATAATTTTTGTAAGCTGTGTCGGAACTATCTGCAGAGGGATGATTTATTAATCCGGTGGTCTCTCGGTATACACCTCCACATTCCGTGTCTATGGTAGTGTAATTAGCATAAAATCCTGTACCAGACAAGCTCAGATCTGATGTAAATTTGATGTACATGTAATTTAAAGTGGATGTTTGTGTAGGTGGCGTATGTGCGGCGCCACCGCAGTACCTGCCCAGTAGCGTGGAGTTTTGGTCGTGACCGTCTCGCACCTCAACGTT